GCCACCGGGGCCGACGCCAAGATTTCGCGCCCGCCGCAGTGGAACCCAGACGAATTAGACGACGCATTGACGGCAATGCTGGAAGACCGGGGACTGTCGGCTGCAACCATCGGCATTGACCTGCGCTACGTCTACGCCGACACCCTCTTCCGACTGCAGCAGAACAATCCCGAGTGCCAGTTCGTCGACATTACGGGCATGCTGTACGGCCTGAGGGCCATCAAGCATCCGCAGGAAATCGAGTTGCATCGCAGCGCGGCCCGGCTGTTCGAGGAGGGCCTCCGCCGGGCAATAACTGACGCTACTGAGGGGCAGAGCGCCCAAGCGATCAAGTACAACTATCAAGCCGGGGCGCTGGAGGCGGCCATGGCCGATCCGAGCCTTGGCGAACTCCAGTCAGCCTACGGGTTCATCAGCGCCGGTACGGGAAGCAGCTTTGGCGACAGAAGCGGGTTGCATTCGGGTGACCTGATCAAGTTCGACTGCGGAGTGGCTGTCGGCGGGTTCTACAGCGACTGCGGGCGGACGTTTGCCTTTGGCCGGGCGGCGGCGGATCAGCGCCGAGTGCATGACGCGCTGGCCGAAGCCCACGCCTCCGCCCGCGAGGTGATGCGTCCCGGAACACCTATATCGGCGATTTACCGGGCGGCAGACGATGTGATGCGGGCACACGGCTTCCCGGGCTACAGCCGGGGACACTACGGTCACTCGATCGGGCTGGACTCCTTCGTGGAGGAGCCGCCGTTCATCAGCGCCAACGAGCACAGCGAATTGCAGGCAGGTATGCTGCTCTGTCTCGAAACGCCCTACTACTCCGCCAGCACAGGTTCATACCAGATCGAGGACATGATTCTCATAACCGAGAATGGGCACGAGAACTTCAACACACTGTCTTACGAACTTGTGGAACTCTAGCCCCAACTTTTACTGGAAAAACTATTCAGCCACACGGGAGCCGATATGAAGGCATCATACCTGGGTGCTATGGGTTATGCGCTGCGCCGCGACTTCCCACCGACCTGGCCCACGCCTCCGGCCTACAACGACCCGGAACTGTCAGTGCAGAGCTACCAGGACGGTATCGAGGAATGCGAGTTCGCCGAGGAGATGGGCTTTCGAGTGGATCAGCTTTTCTGAGCACCACTACTCGGGGCGGATCGCCACCGGCACGCCGTCGGTGATGGTCGCCGCCGTAGCGGAAAGATGCAAGAAGGCCCGGATGGCCATACTGGGGCACCTGCTGCCTCTGAACAACCCGGTGCGAATCGCCGAGGAACTGGCACTGCTGGACAACCTGACCAACGGCCGGCTGGTGATGGGGTTCCTGCGCGGCACTCCCAACGAGGACCAGGTCTACAACGTCAACCCCGCCGAGGGACGCGGGCGCATGCTGGAGAGCATGGACCTGATCCTGCGGGCCCTGACCGAACTGCAACCCTTTGCGTGGGAGGGGCGCTACTACCAGTACCGCACGGTGTCGGTATGGCCCCGGCCAGTACAGCAACCGCTGCCGCCAGCCATCGTGGCCACGCGGAGCGACGACGCGGTGCACTACGCTGCCATGCACCGGCTGGGACTGGGGGTCTCGTTCCTACCGTCGAGGACGTGGCAACCATCTCTGGCAAGTATTTCAAGTGGTGCGAAGAGGCCGGTTGGACGCCGCAGCCTGACGAGGTGGTTTTCCGGGGCAGCATCTATCTTGCCGAGACCGACGAGAAGGCCTGGGACTGGTTCCACAGACAGGAGGACCAGGGCCGGGCCCGCGGAATGGCGATGCGCTCGTCGGTGGCGCAGGTCATCCAGGCCCAGAGGACAGGGCAGGACATCGATTACAGCCACGTATTCGCAGGCAGTGCGTCCGGCGACATCGTGGGTGCCGCACCGGCGCTGACATTCGTCGGCGGGCCGGACTCGATAACGGAGCAGATAAAGGCCTACCACGACCGCTGCGGGGCCGGGGTCATTGACCTGTTCTTCCAGCAGCCCAGCCTGAGTCATGGAGACATCATGGACGAGATCGAGCTGTTCGGACGGGAAGTCCTGCCCAGAATCAAGGAGTTCTAAAACGTGCCTCAATCGGAAAGCGGCCTGAATTATACGAGAAAGGGCAGCGGCGACCCTGTGGTGCTGCTGGACTGGACGCCGTGGCAGACGTCGGGTCTCGTCGAGGCGCTGGCGAGACAAGTACCGGGTTTTCAGCGTGGAACCACCCGGCGCTGCGGCACAGACCGGATCACTGCAAGAAGCGGCGGTGGCGGTCATCGGTGTCGCCGAGTCCGCCGGGCTGAGCAGTTTCACGCTCGTCGGCGCGTCACTGGGCGCCGACGTGTCCTTTCGGCTGGCCCTGCAGCGGCCTGCATCGGTACCTACGATGGTGCTGGTCTCCCCCACCTGCGTCGCGCCGGGCCAGGCGACCTGGGGGAACACCGCGGAGCTGGCACGGAAGGCAATGCTGGCACACCCGGAGGACCTGGCGATCGCAAGCCCAGATTCGAGCAGGACCACGATCCTGGCTGGCCTGGCGGAGCGATGGCGCACTGAAGAAAACACAGCAATCGATTTGCTCCCCGAGCTATCGGCGGCCACGCTGGTGGTGTTCGGGCAGGAAGACCGGCTGGTTGCCAGTGAGGCCGGGGGACTGTGGAAGGGGCGAGTGCCCAATTGCAGCATCAGCTACGTTTACGATGCTGGGCACGCCATCGGCGTTGACCGGCCGGACGCCCTGGCAGACGTGGTACTGGACTTCGTGGAGCGTCGAGAGACGTTCATCGTGGAGAAACGCAGCAGCGTCATCAACCCCTAGAGACCCGGCCTTGACCGGGCCTTTTCATAGGCCTGGAGAAGAAGTTGATGGTCCGGCAGGCTCACCATTACCACCTTACTGCCCTCCGCCCTTCAAGAAGCCCAGAACTGACGGCCCCTGTTACCGATGGAGTGTACAAAGCTCCTGTGCCTTCAGGGACGCGATTGTATTCGACGTGGGCCTGTGGTAGTTTCGGTTTCAGACCAACCTAAATTGAATTGTGGAGAGTACTTATGGCAACCAAGAGGGACGGCGAGAAATACTTGGGGCACGAGTTGCACGTGCCACTGTCACAGGACGGGCAGGTGATGGCCTACGTGTGGCCGGTGCGGGCGCTCAACGTTCGCGGCTCGTGGTGCGGCGGCCCGACCATCGGCATTGACGTGGGCAACGAGGAGATCATCCGCTTCGACTGCCACGACCGGCCCGGCCACTGGCACGGCGGCGGCTACGACAAGGGAGGCTCCCCCGGCGCCTCTCACCGGGACTTCCCCAAGGACATCGTCGCGGTGGCCGACCAGGTGGACTGGTCGCTGCAGCAGGTGAGCGAGCGCACCTCGGAGCTTCTCGCGGAGGCCGACCACGGCGAGGCAGCCGAGGCCGTTGATGCCGCGATGCTGCAGGAAGCAGTCGGACTGATTCGCAACCACCTGAAGCAGCAGGGCCACCTGCGCGACGAGGCCATCAGCGCTGGGATTATCGAGGCGTAAGGCACGGAAATGGGTGCCTGTGGAGATAAACGGATCGGGCCTCCAATGTCGATGCTCATCCTCAGGCACCCATTTTCAAACAAGGAGTTGGGAACGTTCTTTGTCGAAATAGAAATCGGCGATCCCGAGGGGCAACGCTGGGTTTCAGTCGAGGCGTTGGTGGACACAGGCGCGTCCACTTCTTCAGTCCCTTCATCCATCCTCAGCAGTTTGGACGTGATTGCCAGTCGACAAAAGAGGTACCGATTCGCCCAGGGCGAGACCAGGACCATGGGTGTTGGTCAGACTTTTATCAGATTGATAGGCGAAGAATTCATCAGGGACTTTATCTTCAATGAAGAGGGCACGATTCCCTTGCTGGGCGCTCTGGCCTTGGAAAGCGCTCACTTGGCGGTTGATTCACACGGCAACAGGTTGATCCCTGAAGACGGCATTCTGTTGTGAAGGCGCGGTCCGAATATTCGGGACGGGAAACTCAGCGTCGAAATTGCCGTAGGAAGCTTCGACCGAAATTCTGGAAGGAACTGTTAGCGGCGGTAGAGGCATCGCAGCCATTTTCCATTTTCCCGGGTTCCGTCCTGCGCGACGAAACCATCAGCGCTGGCATCATCGAGGAGTAGTCTGCCGGAATGGGCACTTTCTATATAGAAATTGGCCTGGGAGACGAACAGGGATCAAATTGGCGGACATTGGACGCGCTGGTTGACACCGGCGCGTCCACGACTTCGCTACCCGCCAGCGTTCTGCAGGAATTGGGTGTGCGCCCTTTGTCTACTGAACGGTTCCGGTTCGCTCAAGGTGAGGTGAGGGAATTGCCGGTTGGCTACACCTGGATTAGATTTGCCGGCAAGGAGGTGATCACCCAGGTCATCTTCAATGCCGAGGGAACCTCCCCCCTGCTCGGTGCGTTGGCACTTGAGGCCGCTTACATGGCCGTCGACCCGGTCGGGCAGAGGCTGATCCCGGTTGAAGGTTTCCTGATGTAGCCAGGCAGATCCTCAAGGTCCCTTCTTCTCTCCTCTAAAGCCTCGACCGCCTGCGTTGCTCTTCCTGAAGCTCATCGATGCTCTCGCGGGAACGGCCGTAGATGTGCGGCACGTCCCAACCCTCCAGGCCGGCGTAGGTGTCTATCTGGCTGCGGTGATGCACCTCGTGCTCGAAGAGCATCATCATTATGCGCCAGCCGCTGAGCATTCCATCGGTGTCGATCATCTTGACACGACGCTGCAGCCACTCCGGCGGGCTGTCATCGAGGCGCTGGTGGAACTCCTGGAACGATGCCTCCATGGCAGGAATCCAGCCGGACTGACGCTCTGTGCTGGGGACTGGCCAGTCGTATAGCCACCCCCGGCCACAGTAGGCGCTGGCAAAATAAAGGCGCGACTCGGCGATGTGATGAACGACTTCAGCGATGCTCCACGCCTTTTCGCCCTCGCCGCGAGGGGGGCGCCAGAACTCGGCGGCGGAAGGCAGCGCCTCGATGTCCCTCACTGTCCGTTCGTGGAAACGGTCGAAATAGCGCAGCAGGGTCGGTAGGTCAGTGATCATCTTCAGTCCTCAAGGGCCGCGACACAGAGAGCGCGGCAACCATACTGTTTTCCGGTCATCATAGTGAGAGGACAGGCCATGGTCAACGCGAGGCTCGCAGGCTCCAGGGCAATCGCGCCTTATTTGTCAACACACAAAATTGGTCTAATGTCGGTGGATATGGGAGTGGCAGTGCCTCCTTCGGTTCCGGGTGCGAGGGTAGACGGGGGTTTGGATCCCCGCTTGCGCGGGAATGACGACTTATAGGACCTTCGGCGTTTAAGACGCGATTGCCCCGTCGCAGGCCCGAAGGCAGTTGTGGCCTGGTCTGATCTGACGGTGTAGAATCGGCGCTGCATTTCATCCCCAAATTCTATATGCTCCGTGGACCAAGGGAGTTTGCAGGAAAAGCGAATATGAAATATGACGTTATCGTAGTCGGCGGTGGTTCGGCCGGGTCGGTGGTGGCAAGCAGATTGTCGGAGGACCCGCGGCGTTCAGTGTTGCTGCTCGAGGCGGGTCAGGACTACCCCGACCCGGAACAGTTGCCGGAGCCGGTGCGGAACGGGCATTCATCGGAGGGCGAGGCCATCGGTTCGCCGGTCTCCTGGAACCTGCGCGGCGTCATAAACGACCAGCAGGGGGAGATAAACATCGCCCAAGGCAAAGTCATCGGCGGCTCGGGTTCCATCAACGGACAAGTCTACCTGCGCGGGTTGCCGGAAGACTTCGAACGATGGGAATCCTTCGGTAACGAGGAATGGGGATATCTGAAAGTCCTTCCCTTCTATCGCAGGGCTGAGACCGACATGGATATCCACGACGACTTTCACGGCAATGAGGGCCCTATTCCAGTGGTCCGCCGGGAGAATGAAGAGTGGCCAATGGTGCAGCGGGCATTCTACGATGCCTGCATTGAGCGGGGCTACCCGCCTAACCATGACCTTAATGGACCCAACTCCAGCGGCATCGGGGCCATTCCAATGAACAACATGAACACTTGGCGGATGAGCACGGCCCTCACGCACCTCAGCCCGTCCCGACATCGTCTCAACCTGACGGTGCGCGGCGGCGTGTTCGTTCGAAGAGTAGTCATAGAGGGCGGCAAGGTTGCTGGCGTCGAGGCTGAGAGCGGGGGCGAGATTTTCACGGTTGCCTGCGACCGGGTGGTTCTCAGCGCCGGCGCGCTGAAGTCGCCCCACATCCTGATGCTGTCGGGGATCGGCCCGCGGGAACAGCTGGAGGAGCAGGGTGTGCCGGTGCTCGTGGAATCACCGGGAATGGGCCAGAACCTGTTCAACCACCCCATGGGTTCCGTTACTTTCCAGGTCAAGGACGATGTCAAACTGACTGCCAACGCGGAGGCGCTGCGGTTCGGACTGCGCGTCACGTCGGAGGCGCCTTCCTATCCCAACGACGTGATGCTGCATACACTGGCAATCTGGAACGTGATGACCGGAGAGATGGTGCCGTCCGGGCAGGCCCGCATTGCCTGTGCGCTTGAGTTGCCCGACGGGTCGGGCTGGGTGCGCCTGCAGTCCTCGGACCCTGCATCCAGCCTTCCATCAACTATCGCTACCTGCACAACGAGAACGATATGCGCCGGATGCGGGACGCCGTGAAACTGGCGTGCGGCATCCTGGAGTCGGAGGCATACAAGGATATTTCCGTGGGGCGCGTTGCGCCGGACGACGAAACGCTGGGCAGCGACGAAAAACTCGACGCCTGGATCCGTCAGACGCTGGGCAGTTCACGACACGTCTCGGGCACCTGCCGCATCGGGCCGGACGGCGACGGAATGGCGGTGACCGACCAGCAGTGCCGGGTTCGCGCCGTTGACGGGCTGTGGGTAGCCGACTCGTCGATCATGCCGCAGGTTACCCGCGCCAATACGAACGCCACCGCAATAATGATCGGAGAGCGCGTGGCCGACTGGGTGGCCGAAAGCTAGAGGAAAAAGGTGAGCAGTCGATGAAGTTCGGCCTCTTCCATTCGGTGCAGCTTCCCAACCCGGCAGAGCAGGAGCGGTACTACCGTGAGGCGTTGGAGCAAGTGCTGCACGCGGAGCGGCTGGGCTACAGCTCCGTGTGGTTCACCGAGCACCACTTCACCCGCCACGGCATCGTGTCAGCCACGCTGTCGGTACTGGCCTACCTGGCCGGACTCACGGAGACCATCCGGCTGGGCACGGCGGTTACCGTGCTGCCTTTCCATAACCCGGTGCAGCTTGCCGAGCAGACCGCCACGGTGGACCTGCTCAGCAGCGGCCGACTGGATCTGGGCGTAGGCCGGGGTTACCAGTGGGGCGAGTTCCATCGTATGGGCGTGCCCATGGACGAGGCAACACGCAGGTTTGAGGAATCGATGGAGGTGCTGACCCGGGCCTGGACCGCAACCGAACCCTTCGATCACCGGGGCGAGTTCTGGAGCTTTAACGACCTGACGATCCATCCCAAGCCGGTGCAACAGCCGCATCCACCGGTGTACGTGGCAGCTTCTGGCGCGGAGAGTGTGACCAGGGTTGCCCGCAACAACTGGAATCTGCTCATCGGGCAGGCCGAGGCCTACGGGCAGGTGGCGCAACAGGTCGAGTTCTACAAGGGTGCCCTTGCGGAGGCCGACAAGGACTACTCGCCACCACGGGTGGTGGCAGCCCGCGCGATGTATGTGGCACCAACGACGGAGCGGGCACAAGAGGAGGCCGAGGTCCCCTTCATGTGGTTCAAGCAGACGGGGCAGGAGGTCAGCGCGCCTCCGGGACAGCGTGTGGAGTTACTTCCCGACGAGTTTGCTGCATACCGCAGCCGCTATACCCCCGACGCCCGGTTCGACTACCGAGCGAGGTGCGATGACGTGATGCTCTTTGGCAGCACCGATTTCATTTCCGAGGGAATAGGACGACTGCGAGACTCGGGAGTGGAGAACCTGATCTTCTTTGTCAACTTCGGAGGCATCGAAAACCAGAAAGTTCTCGACTCGCTGGAACTCTTCGCCACCGAGGTGATGCCGCAGTTCGCCGATTAGCAAGTGGCATCCGCACAGCCTTCAGCAAGTACCTTCGTCTCAAGCCCCTCCTTAAAGAAAGAGGGGCTTTCCTCTGGAAGGAAGCAGGGGAATCAATCCCGAGGCACGGTGCAGGACAGCACGCGGGCCTACTGACGAAGAGGCTGCACCAGTTCGATGAGCACGTCGTCCGGGCCTTCGATGTAGGCCAGTCGTGAGCCGGTGGGCGTCTGGGTCAGCGGCAAGACCACGCGGATGCCTCCGGACTCCAGCCGTTCGAGCTCCGACTCTAGGTCTTCGACATCGAAGCCAAAGTGCTCCAGCCCAAGGCGGTTAAGCTCCGCCACGCTGCGCTCGTCGGACGATCCGGCGGGCTTGGACGAGATGTTGAGGCGCACCGGCCCGCCGACTTCCATGCTGACTGTCACCGTGCCGGGCATGATCTCACGAGCCCACAGCTTCTTCGCGTTGAAATGTTTCTCGTACCACGCCGCCGAAGCGTGGGGGTCCTGCGCCCGCACATGCACGTGGTTGATGTGGTATTGCATATTTTCAATCTCCTTTGTTCCGGCTATGTTCCGGCGCCAATCGTCTCGTACCGAGGTTGCCTCACTTTACAACATCCTCCCATGGTTGGTAACGCCCCCCCCCACTGTATTGAGTTTGCTACGGTGACTGCACGGAAGAGTCCGTCGCTGTCTAAATGGGCTTCCGGGAATCAGGGGGAATGCCATTCTGGACCAGCTTTTCTCCAGGAATGACGGTAAGTCGTGCTGTCGGCTTAAGGTATGGGCACCGCCAACTACCCCTAAATGACTCCAGCCTGTGGAGGTTGGTCCCGGTTTCCGTTTGCGGCTTCGCTCAGGCGGTCGGAAACCACCTCTTTAATACCCCTCCATCCTGTCGCTGCTTTGTCTTCATTGTCTCTGGTTCCCGGATATCCTCCAATTCGCACAACCCGGCGTTTCGAATGTAACGGCAGGCCCGTTATGCGATTTCGTTTAGTATACGTGAACATAGAATTATAATAAGTAATATAGTCATATTCTTGAAATATAATTCCGCAATAATTTACATATTCGCCGATTACGTGATATATTCAGCCACCTTCTCAGATTCGTCCGATGAATTCCGCAAATTTGGCAATGACCGAGCTCCATGACCTGAGAGGGAAGGCCCGATTAGGTTGGCGAACTGCAATCTCATAGGGCCGAATCAGCTGGCCGGACAGGAGGCAATTCGCGGTTTCTTCGGATCGGGTGATGACCCGCCCGATTGGAGTCAGGTTCCCAAGAGCACGATAGCGAACGACGTCTTGTTTGGCCGCTTCGAATCCCGCGAACGTCTACAGGAGGATGACCGATATGCGCAGCCCTTTATTCCTAGTTCTGGCCCTGATTTTGGTACTTGGACTGATGGCCGCCTGCGGAGGTGCCTCAGAGCCCACGGCGGAACCAGAGATCGCCACCGAAGCTCCCCAACCCACAGCGACCACCGCACCAACTCCCACCGAAGTCGCAATGGAGGAGGCCACCGAGGCCCCGGCAGCCATGTCAGCGCTGGAAACGTATGCGGTTGAGAATGCCGGAGGCCCAGGCGCGATCTATGTTGGCGACATCACGCAACTCGTCGGCCCAGCCAAAACGGTAGAACAGGGGGACTTCGACGGAAACGTAACCTTGGAATCGCTGGAAAGGCATCTCTGGATCTACGAGAGCACCCTATACCAGGAGTTGCTGGAGAAGGCGAAGCTCACCGATCCGACACCCATGACATACGACGGCGAAACCATCACCATTCAGCACGCCTGCATCAACCGGGCCCTGCTGCCCTGTGTGGCGCTGGAAACCTTCTTCAGGCCCAACCTGCTGGAGCGCACCAACGGTAAGGTGGAATTCATCACCAGCTCCTTCCCTGAGCTGGGGCTGGCCGGACCCGACACCCTGACCCTGGTCACCAGCGGCACGCTGGACTCCGCCACCATCTACGGCGGTTACGTTGGCGGGGAGATGCCACCCATCGAGATCCAGAATCTCTGGGGCATCTACTCCTCCCGCGAGCAGGAGTTCGAGGCCACCCAGGCCATCATCAAGGACATCGAAGAGTTGGTGACTGTCCGAGACCGGCGGCGTGATAATGAACCACAACTGGTATGCCGGCAACGACCAGTTCTTCTTCTGCCGGGAGAAGATTGACACGCTGGACGGGTTCTCTGGCAAAAAGACGCGCAGCCACAGCGCGGCGCTGTCGGACTGGATCAACGGGATGGGCGCGAGCCCCAGTTCCTTGCCTTTGCCGAGGTCTACACCTGCCATTGAACGCGGGATTCTGGACTGCGGAGTGACCGGGGCCGACGCGGGATTCGGTCAGCGCTGGTACGAAGTGACCGACTACATCATTGGCCCGTTGCTCAGCTTCCCGTCCAACAACAACGTGATCAACGGAGAGAAGTGGGCTTCCATACCCCCGGACCTGCAGCAAATAATCATCGAGGAGGCAGCCAAGTCGGAGTTGGAGGCCCTGCGGATCTCAGCTATCCAGAATGAGATGGGGCTGCTCAAGAATACTTCAGACGACCCGCGGGGAGCGGGAAGGGATGCGATGGAATTCGTCCCATTTTCCGATGAAATGACTTTCCGCAGCCTCAATACCGCCGTGATGGAGCACGTGGTGCCGGCCTGGGTTAACCGGGTTGCAGACACCAACCATCCCATCATCGCCGACTCGTTCAACCAAAAGGTCGGCCCCATAGTCGGCCTGCGAATCGAATCGAACGGCACGGTGGTGAAGATCAATTAGCCAGTATCTGCGTCGCCGGGGCGACTCAACAGGGGCGGGTGATACACCCGCCCCTGCATGTTTCTGGAACCGAACCTTTTCCGCCAACCGAACTCATCCCTGCGCCGCCCTTCGATTCAGCCGGAACATCCTGGCGGCCAGGCTGCTGGCGGTAACGAGGTAGATAACAATATTGGCGCCAATGGTTGCTCCGAAGGCGATGTACATGAACGGCGTAGTACTGGGCTCGGCACAACACTCGATCTCCCGGTTGGCGCCGTACTGATATCCGGCGAGTCCTCCGATGACGCCTCCCGCGACGCAGACCAAGAGGTGACGACTAAGGCAGAGCGCTGGTGGCGGTCCAACTTGATCCACGCCAGGTTCACTGCGGCTCCGGCGCCAATGCCTGCCCCAGCCAAGGACATGATCATGAAGGTAAGCCTGGAGCTGGAGCCAATGAAGATGAACAGGCCCCACGCGACCGCCAATGCGGCCATGCTCAGGATGAGGGCGAGCGCCAAGCCCAGCAGAATACGCGCCGCGATGACGGCGGCGGCCCGAATCAGGTCAGATTTTTCGTACATTCGCCCTGTCGTCATTACCGACAATACTCCAATAAGCAACTGGATCAAATGTGTTCTGGTCAGCGGTGCGAAGCGTCCAGACTCTCGCCTGTTGGAGCAACAGAGATCCTTTAACTTCTAGCAGAAATCCGAAAATTGCACTCCTGAAAAAATGTCGGGTCCAGGACTCGCCCCAGACCCTGTCTATGCAGGGGACTGGCAGCTCCCATTAAATTCCAGAACCTTGCCATTCATTTTGAACGTAAGGCCTTGACTCTGCTTTGCGAAAGCACCGAGCGGAGGCCCTATGCCTTCAGTGGCCGCAACCAGAGTACCGCTTTCGTGGTTCCAATCGGATGTATGGCAGGGTGTCCCCCTGAATGTTTTCCTCGCTTGATCGCCGGTGTCCTGCCCGATTTCCCCTTCTATTGGTACCAGTGCACTTGAGGCGCCACTCGTCGGGCCGCCTACCATGCTGACATCAGCCATCCTGCCGGATGAAGTCGGAGATGCGCTCTCCTATCATCATTGTAGTGCAGTTGGTGTTGGCGCGTACGGCGTTTGGCATAACGGAGGCGTCGGCCACCCTCAGGCCCTCCACCCCGTGGACGCGGCCGAATTGGTCGACGACGGCCATTTCGTCGGAGGCGGGTCCCATCCGGCAGCTGCTGGTCAGGTGCTGACCGCTTACAACAGAGCGGCGAATGAAGTCGTTCAGCGCTTCGTCGGACTCCAGCTCGTCGTCTGAGGGGCGGAGGCGTTCCTCGATAATGTCACTGAAGCGGGGATGGCGTCCGATATCAGCGGCGGTGCGGACCATCTCCCGGCAACGCCGGAGGTCGAACTCATTCTCAAAGAACCTGAAATCGATGGAGGGCGACGCATAGGGGTCGGGGGAGGTGATTCGCAGCTCGCCAGCGCCCTCCTCGTAGTTGAGGATGGTGTACATCCCCAGGCCGTCGATGGCACTGCCATCGGGGTTGGTATAGCGAACCGGATTGACCATTGAGCTCATAAGGATCTGCAAATCGTTTCGGTGCGGCGATCCAGTGGCGGTCCACCTTGCAGCGACCTGAAGGCGCGGCGCGTTGGCGTCCAGCTCGTGGCCGGGCTTGGTCCTGAAGGGCACAAACACGATGGGGTGGTCGCGCAGGCTCTGGCCCACGCCCGGCAGTTCGTGCACCTGGGCGATTCCCACGGCGGCCAACTGGTCGGCCGGGCCGACGCCGGACAGCAGCAGAATGTGGGGCGAGCCGATGCTGCCGCTGCTCAAGACGATCTCACCGGCCTCGACGACGAATGTTTCCCCTCCAGATTCCACCTGGACGCCTGAGGCCCGCTTGCCGTCGAACAGTATGCGGTGCACGGTGCAGTTGGGCCTGATGGTGAGATTCAGACGATGGCGGGCAAGGTTGAGGTATCCAAGAGCAGTGCTGAGGCGGATGCCATTGGGATTGTTGAGGGGCACTGGGCCCACGCCAGTGGCGTCGGGGTGGTTGAAGTCGGCTACATCGACCATGCCAAGTTCGCGGCAGGCAGTGTGAAAGGCTGTCTGATCCTGACGCCATTCCTCCCGGCTGAACCGGCGGCAGACTATAGGGCCGTCAGAGTTGTGGAAGTCGCTGCCGCCGAACTCGGAGTCGGTCTCCATCTTGCGAAAATAGTGCAGCAGGTTCTGGAAGCTCCACCGGTCATTGCCGCGGGCGGCCCAGTCATCGTAGTCCTCGGGTATGCCACGCAAGAACACCTGGCCGTTTATGGCGCTGGTGCCACCGGTGACCTTGCCGCGCGGGATCTGCAGGGGACCGCTGGTGTCGGTACCGCGGGCGAAAAACTCCCAGTTGTGGTGGGTGGTAACGGTGTCGATGCCCGAGGCATATCCGAACTTGATCTCCTCGGGAAGGTGCTCGAAGTCGGGATAATCCGGCCCGGCCTCCAGCAGCAGCACGGAGCGGTCGGGGTCCTCGCTGAGCCGGGTGGCAACTACGCCGCCTCCGGAACCGGCTCCAATTACGATGGTGTCGTATCTCATACTGCCTCCCGGTAGTTCGCTTGTCCGGCAATCAACTATATGCCATTTGAGCGGGAGGCGATATCCGCTTTGTTTCCTTGGCAGGGCAATCGCGTCTTATCTGTCAGCACACAAAATTGGTCTAGTGTCGGTGGATATGGGAGTGGCAGTGGAAGTACCTCCTTCGGTTCCGGGTGCGAGGGTAGACCGGGGTTTGGATTCCCGCTTTCGCGGGAATGACGATTGGGGGTCCGGGAGTAGGACGGTTGGGTGCTGAGGCCTGTTGGGTGTGATCCTCCTTCCGGTGTGGGTTGCGGTTGGGTTGTCGGGTTGGGGTCTGCTTAGTGTCAGGGTATGGAAATCGCTGACATTCGCTGACATTTCCTGTAATTGGGTGGGTTATGGGGGCTTGGGTCCCCGCTTTCGCGGGGATGACGATTGGTAGCAACAGTGATGGCGGTTGGGTGCTGAAAATTTCGCTATTCCGAGCATTTCCGAGCGTTTCCGAGCGTTGAGCGGCAGCCCCCCGTGGTCCGGCAGGCGGAGGGCGAGTCTCTGGAGCATCTGGTGGGCCTCATTGTTGGGGTTTGGGGTAGGTTACGGTCGTTTTGGGTGGCCCTGGGTGGCATCTGCCGGGGTTACGGGGGTTTGGATTCCCGCCTGCGCGGGAATGACGACTTATAGGGCCTCCGGCGTTTAAGACGCGATTGCCCTGCCTAATGTGTGCAGTTCTGTGCTATTGTGTGCAATTTCCAGAGGGGGAGTCTCAATAGGGGATCCTGCAAGGCGCCCTTGGGGAGAGATGCCTCGGCAGCGTCCGACACGCTAGAATTTCCTATTATGCCGCTCATTTCCGATCATTTCCCCTCACCTCCGATTTTTTTGGTGGCGACATTTGCAGGATGCGCAGGCTTGCGGAATTGCGGGTGCTAGACAGCAGTTAATAGCAAATTTGTTTGATTATATGGGAGCACAACCCGGCTTGCAAGAGAAGGATGTGCGAGGGGCAGCGTTCCGAATCAGGCGGTCAAATCTGTCGACGACGGGGGATCGGATCCCCGGTGTCGCGGGAATTGCGGAAGCCATTCCGGCAAACCACCTGAATTTGAACATTGTCTGTTTCCCACGGGGCGACGAGGGGCGCCTGAGTCCGGCGGTTCCTGTTGCGCCCGGGTTAAGCCCGTGTCCGTTTCCTCAAGCCTGTGGACAGGATCAAGTCCTGAAATGCGAGAGTAACATTTCAGGGTTAGAGTTCAACTACGGAACGAGAAATAGACACGCATTTCAAACATCACATGGAGTCGATTGATGGAACACTTGTATCGTGTCATTTCCCTGTTCATGCTGATGATGGCTGTTGCGGTGGGGGTGCACTACATCATCACCCCGTTGTACGACGACGGAAGCACGGGGTTTCCGGTGTGGGGCATCCTGAACTGGCCGATGGCGGCGGCCACAGCCGCGGCGTTTGTGATCAACCTCTCCAGTTGGCTGCGTGGGGTAGGGGAGAACGCTCAAGGCACCGGTACAGTGCAGTGGCTGCAGGTAAACTTTCGCTTCTATTCGTCCCTGGTGCTCCTCCTGTGGTTTCTCAACAACTGGTTCGCTGAATTGATGGACCTCGATCAAGCAGTGGATGGCGTTGCGGGTTAATGCCGCTATGTACCGTGCGGTGATGCTTTCTACAGGTCTGCGTCCCTGGCAACAGGATTGAGGTCGATAACCTGTGCCTAACTCGATCCCGTTGAACGCGGTGGCCAGAGTCTCATACGGGCAAAGTCCTTTCGCGATGGTCGTCGAATGTTGACAGCGCCCAAGTTCGAACTTACCTTTCCCCGATAAGATTGCCGCGCTCCAGCAAGGGGTGCGACAATTCCATCGCAACGGACGCGAGTCGCAAGGTAGCTCCAAACAGGAGGCTATTCCTGACCATCGAACAGTCCGCTCCCGCAGACCTGAGACAAAACGGCATCCAGCCAGCTGCTCGAAGTGGAGGACCTGCAGACCCACTTCTTCACCCGGCGCGGTGTTGTCCGCGCCGTCAACGGCGTGAGCTTCAGCCTGATGCCCGGCGAGACTCTCGGCCTTGTGGGAGAGTCGGGTTCGGGAAAGACGATCACCTGCCTGTCGCTGCTGCGCCTGCTGCCGCGGGGGGCGAGGATCGTGGGCGGCAAGGTGCTGTTCAACGGCCAGAACACCCTGGACCTTTCTGAAAAGGAAATGGAGAGGCTGCGGGGCATCCGGATGGGGATGATTCTGCAGAACTCCATGGCGGCCCTTGACCCGGTGTTCTCGATCGGTACGCAGATTGCGGAACCGCTGGTCGTACATTCGGGGCTGAACTGGAGGGCAGCGATAGAACGCAGCATCGACCTGCTGCGGATGGTGAAGATCACGGCGCCTCACCTGCGGGTCCGCAACTACCCCCACGAAATGAGCGGAGGCATGCGCCAAAGGGCGTCCAGCGCGGCGTCCATCGGTCCGCATCCCGACCTGCTCATTGCTGACGAGCCGACCACAGCCCTGGACGTCACCACCCAGCGTCAGTACCTGGAGTTGCTGAAAGAACTGCAGCAGGAAACAGGAATGGCGCTGATCTTCATTACCCACGACATCAGCATTGTGGCAACCTGTGCGACAACCTGGCAGTATTCTATGGCGGGCTTGTAGTGGAATACGGCCCAAAGGAAGGATATTCAGGTGCTCATACACCCGACGCATCCATTACACGCTGTGCCCTGCTTGAGCCTGCCGGTGTGGTTGGGGCCGATTGGGGAGAATGGCGCGAGCGGCTGCGAACCATCCAGGGCGACCCACCTTATGCCGGAAACCTGCCCCCGGGCTGCCCATTCCATCCTCGTTGCGACAAGGTGATGGACCGGTGCAGAGAGGGAGACACTTCCATCTGTCACACTGTGGGCGTCAACGTGGAGCACCCAAAATTGACGACGACCCGGTTGGGTTGGGTAGCTGGCTGGCAGAATGATTGAGTCAACAACGGAACGGGCAAGCGACGTAATCATCGAGGCGCGTCGCAACGCCGTTTTTTGTTTTACGTAAAGCACTGTCGGTGAAGAACGTCCGGCCTGCCTGACACACATGGCGTCAGGTGGTAGGCGTGGCGAGCCGGTGGATGACCGTTCCTCGACGCGTAAGGATAACCAGACGTTCGCGCTGGTTGGAGAATCGGGGTGCGGCAAGACCACCATGGCCAACCTGATCCTCAAGCTTCTAGACCTCACGTCCGGCGAAATCATCTACCGGGGCAATTCCCTCGTAGGCATGTCTTCTCAGGAAGTTAAGAATTACCGGCGGAACGTGCAGGCGTCGTACGGATCATACGGGGCGCGAACCCCTCACTGAATGCGGGTGGGACACATCATCGGAGAGCCGCTGGAGGTCCACGGATTCAGCCGGGCCGAGCAGGCAGAAAGGGTGGCGGAAAATGGAAAATCGAAGCCCTGCACGTCGGTATAGGGATGCAAACGAATCAGTGGCTTAGGTCCCATGTTTCCGCATTGAATCAGCGGCCGGGGCCACCGGCCCAGCGCATCGGCGATGAGCGTGGCCGGGCACTGACCCTCAACCCCGACCTGATCGTCCTGGACGAGCCAGTTTCGTCGCTGGATGTATCCATCCGTTCCCAGGTGCTGAACCTATTGAAGGATATCCAGGCGGAGCGAGGAATTTCCTACATCCTGATTTCCCACGATCTGGCTCCGGTGGAGCACATGAGCCACGTCATCGGGGTGATGTACCTGGGCAAGCTGGTGGAGCTGGGCGATGCGGAGCTCACTTGCTCGGAGCCGCAGCATCCGTACACCGCCTCCCTGGTGGCAGCGGCAACACCCCCTGGCACGACACCGGCATGGCCCATCCCAATCGTGGGCGAAGTGCCCAGCGCACTGGAGACTCCCAGCGGTTGTTCGTTCCATCCCCGCTGCGCCTACGCCATGCCGATATGCAGCCAGGAAGTGCCGTCGCTCGCTCCCACGGAGGACGGGCGGATGGTCTCCTGCCACCTTTATCCCGACGAAATCAAGAAGATCGACAAGAGGGCCCCGATCCAGGTGGCGCAGGGGATATCTGCCGCGTCTTCCTGAAAGCCTACCCATCGAAAAACCGACCCATCGAAACGGACCACGTCGCCTTTCCTTATCCGGGCGAACTTTCTTGTTTAGCGAGTGCTTGTATGGAACTGGAGAACAAATCAGCGATCGTCACGGGATCGGCCTCTGGGATTGGACTGGAGGTGGCGCTCACGCTGGCGGCCAACGGGGGGTCTGTTACGGTGGCCGACCGGAACTTGTCGGGGGCAGAGGCGGTTGTACGCCAGATAACGGAGGCAGGTGGCACGGCACGAGCCGCCGAAGTAAACGTTACCGACAAGGGCCGGGTTGCGGGGATGGTGGAGGGCGCTGTGGCGGCGTTCGGGTCGCTGGACATATTCGTGAACGTTGCCGGCTTTGGCTTCAATTCCCTGATAGTCGACATGGCCGAGGAGGACTGGGACCTTGTTCTGGACGTGAACCTCAAGGGGCAGTTCCTTGGGTGCCAGGCCGCTGGGCGCAGGATGATCGACCAGGGCACGGGCGGGCGAATCGTGAACATCGCCTCCACCGCCGCCAACAACGCGCGTTACCAAGGGGGCGCCTACTGCGCCGCCAAGGCAGGGGTGGTGCAGCTGACGAGGGTCCTGGCCCTGGAGCTGGGGGAGTTCGGAATAACGGTCAATGCCGTCGGCCCAGGATTCACAGAGACGCCAGCCACCGTGGAAACGTCCGACGAGTACCGGACCAACTTCCTGGCGCAGGTGCCGGCCGGACGGTCGGGACGACCAACGGATATCGCCAACGCGGTATTGTTTCTCGCCTCCCCCCTGGCAGAGTACGTCAACGGACAGGTGATCTACGTGGATGGCGGGTATTCCGCGGGGAAACTGACCGTACGGGGCTGAAATCAAGGTCGGATAGTACTGCGAATTTTTCAACGGGATGGACTTATTTGATGGATTGTTTCATAGATGTTACGAAAAATAAAAGCATTCGCGAAAAATTTGTAAGGTTGTTGTCGTTTCATTGACACTTCCTGTAACCCGAATTAGGCTTACGCATCCGTTGTGGGCCAGGTACGGTTCTGCCGAATGAGGCTCGTACCTTTTGTTTTTTTATGCGCAACCTCGCACAGGAGTTAAGAATTGAGCCGTCTACTGGTTTGGAAGTTGCACTTACCTTTCCTCGTCATCCTGCTGATGACGGGTATTATCGTCGCCTGTGGAGGAGATGATGCGACGGAGGCGCCTGTCGCGCCGGCCCCGACGGCCGCGCCGACCGAGGCTCCCGCCACTGGAACTGAACGCACAACCGCTCCATACACGTCAGGGGCGCCCGACTCGGTGGGCAAGCTGACGGTGGCGGCCGACGGCTGGGGCTCAGACCTGCTGAATTCCTGGGAGGACACCCAGCCCAGCTTCCTCCGGGACTATTTCGCGACTCGCCTGCTCACCCGCGACGAAAACATGACCATCCGTCCCTTGTGGGCAACCGAGTGGTCCCAGGATGAATCCGGCATCCTGATAAAGCTGCACCCTGACGCCGTCTGCCAGAATGGAGAGCCGCTGGATGCCGAAGCCCTGATGATAAATCTGGAAGGGGTGCTCGGTAACATTGAAGGATTTTCGGGCAGCTTCTTCGGCGACTCCCTGGATACTCTGATTGACTCCGACGGATACGACATCAGAGGCGACCGGGAGATATTCCTTGGCACCGACTCTCCAAGTCCGGCAGGCTGGGCTATCCTGCACGGTGCCAACTACCACAATATCTGGTTCAACCCGCCGGACTACCTGCAGGAGGTCGGGCACGAGGAATTCGTGAGGAACCCCGTTGGTTGCGGTCCTTATGAATTGACGGAATTCAACCCTGGCGACTCCGCGACGTTCGTTCGATGGGACGACTTCTGGGGCGACTACGAGTACTACAAGCCTCCTCAGCACGAAACGCTGGAGATCGTAAAGGTACCGGAGGCCACCACCCGCTTCGCGCAGCTGACCGCAGGCAATGTGGACATGGCCCTCGGCCTGCCCTATCCCATAGCCAAGGACCTGGACCGCTCCGAGAGTGGCTCACAGGGAGCGGGATTCAACCCCGGCAATGGCGGCCTCTGGACTCAGACGCTGGGGGCGAACGGCAAGATGCAGGTCGCGTTTGATCTCGAGTTCGCGCTGAAAGAGACCAAGGACGACGGAACGACCAAGGCCGACCCCGCAGACTGGGGAGACGACCCGACGCTCAACGTCCGGGTACGGGAGGCGTTGGCCATGTCCGTGGACAAGCAGTCAATTCTCAACACCGGCTTCGGCTTCCTGCTGCCCAACCAGTCGATATGCAACAAGGGTGCATTCGGCTGGCGGGAATCCCAGGACTTTGTCAGCGAGTTCAACCCCGAGATGGCCAAGCAGATACTAGAAGAGGAGGGTTTCGGCGACGGCTTTTCCCTGCAGGCCCACTTCGGTGAGTTCGCCGGACGCCCCAACCAGAAGGAGGCGATGGACATCATCGCCAGCAACTGGAATGACATTGGCATAGACCTGTCGGTGAATGAGCACGACCCGTTCACCTACTACTCCAGTGGCGACTCCGGCAACCGTGAGTACCAGTCGGTCAATGAATGGAGCTGGGGCCGACAGGAGCACTGCGCTGTCCTGGTCAACCTGGCTTACTCGTCCAGTGGGTTCCGCAACGAGTACAACGACGAGACTGACGCGCTTAACGAAGAACTCAAGAACACGGTGGATGAGGCCAGGCAGCTGGAAATCATTGCCCGCGTCGACGACATTGCCCTGGAAAACCACTGGATAATCCCCCTGTACGACGCCAGCGCAGTCTACGGCTACACAGACCGGGTCATGGAGCACAAACAGCCGCCCTTCGGTGCCCACTTCATGGACCTGCAGCGCATCCTGCTGAGGGACTAGCAGACAGGCAGCCGACAAAGCGGTGTCCCGATAATCACAAAAGGGGGAGGGGTCCCAGGAACTGGAATCACCCTCCTCCTCCACAAACAACCCCGATGACCGACAAGGTTCCAGCCACCAGCGGACGGCATCTTCATCCCAGGGAGCGCCCGTGGGCCGGTACGTACTAACCAGAGTTCTTCAAGGGCTCCTCACCCTGTGGCTGGTGACAGTTGCCGTCTTTTTCCTGGTACGCCTTACGGGCAACCCGATCCATTTCATGATATCGCCAGATGCGACCCCCGCAGACCGCCAGCGGCTGATCGAATATTACGGCTTCGACAAGAGCTACTGGGAACAGTACATCAACTACAACAAGAACTTCCTCAAGGGTGAGTTTGGCGAATCCCTCAGGTGGGACTCCCGCGACGGCTTCGAGGTCTTTGTTGATCGCCTTCCCGCCACGATCCAGCTTACGCTGGCGGCCATGTTCTTCTCCATCATAGTTGGCGTCACACTGGGAGTGCTGTCGGCAACCAACCCGGATTCCCTGTTCGACCGCGTCAGCAAGGTGGTGGCCATCCTGGGCCAATCCATGCCGGTGTTCTGGGTAGGAATCCTGATGATTCTCGTGTTTGCCGTCTATTTCAATGTCCTGCCGGCGGGCGGCAGCATTGAAAGGCTGGGCTGGAAGGCAATCGTGCTGCCGGCTGTCACTCTCGGGTGGCTGTTTGTTGCGGCCCACATGCGCATTGTGCGCTCCAGCATGATAGAGGTGCTGGACTCCGAGTACATCAAGATGATCCGCGCCAAGGGACTGCCGCGTCGGATGGTCATATGGAAGCACGCCCTCAAGAACGCCTCCATCCCCATATTCACGCTGTTCATGGTCAATTTCGCCCAGTTGATTTCCGGGGCGGTGGTAACGGAGACCATCTTTTCGTGGCCCGGCATCGGGCGCCTGCTGGTGGACTCCATTTTTGTCCGGGACTTCGCTGTGGCGCAGACGGTGGTCTTCTTCGGTGCCGGATTCATCGTCGCGATCAACCTGACTGTCGACATCATCTACGGGCTGCTTGATCCGAGGATCCGGGTGGCGCAGTAGAGAGGCGATGGCGTGGCGATAGCCGGTGAGCAGGAATTTGGAGGCGACCCGCCGGTCGCCCCGACTTCGCCTGCGGCGCGAGTCCAGTCGCTGTTGGCTGCTGCATCCAGCGTGCGCTCCGCGATGCGGGGCGTACCCAAGTTCTCTTTCTTCTACCTCATCGTAATCATCATTGCCACGCTCTTTGCCCCCCTGATAGCGCCGTTCGACCCGATCAAGACCGCGCCCACCAACATCCTGGCAGAGCCGGCCTGGGGCCAGCATCTGCTGGGCACTGACCACCTGGGGCGTGACATACTCAGCAGAATGATCTATGGCGCCCGCATATCCGTGATTGTGGGCTTCATGGCGGTGGTCATATCCGGGGTGCTTGGCACGCTGATCGCCCTGGCCAGCGGGGTCGCCCGGGGATGGATAGACACGCTGCTGATGCGTCTCACCGACGGGTTCCTGGCACTGCCATACCTGATGGTGGCGGTCACGGTGATTGCCATACTCGGCGCCGGACTCTGGAACGTCATCCTGGTGATTGCCCTGCTGCGATGGATGACCTACGCCCGTATCATTCGCGGCGAGGTACTGTCGCTCATGCAGATGGACTACATCCGCTTGGCGCGGGTGGCAGGGGCCAGCAATCTGCGGATCATCTTCCGGCATGTGGCGCCCAACATCATCAACACGCTGTTGGTGCTGGCCACGCTGGAGGTGGGGCTGGCGATCATTGCCGAGGCGTCTCTGAGCTACCTGGGGCTGGGCATACCGCGCCCGCAGCCATCATGGGGCACCATGCTGGCCGAATCGCAGGAGTGGGTGTTCGTGGCGTGGTGGCTGCCCATGGTGCCGGGGGTAGCCATCACGCTGCTGGTGATGTCCTTCAACCTGATGGGGGACTGGCTGCGGGACAGAACGGATCCCACCCGCAGGCAGTTGTGACGGTCGCGGTCTCCCGCTATCGCTTCAGGAACTCCACGATCAGAGGATTGATCTCCTCGGGCTTTTCCTGGTGCATGAAATGGCCTGTGCCGGGAATGATGACCTTCTCAAGACCGCCGGTGAAATAGGCATCCATGGCCTCGCTTTCGAAGGACTCCAGGCGCCTAGGACGGTCACGGGTTCCGTGGAGAGCCAGCGTGGAGACGGTGACAGGGCCGGCATTGATTCGCCCCTCGTCTCTCAGTAGCAACTCGTCCTGCGACGCTGGACCAAACCTGGCGCGGTAGTAGCCAAGCGCGGCTTCAACCACTCCGGGCTTTCGGAAGGTCTCGCGTATGCTCTCAAGGGCGTAGGCGGGGATGTCCCACTCCGGCGAGGCGTCCCGCCACCATTGCTCCACGTAGGCGTAGTCATTGTGGGCCACTGCCCTTTCGGCGAAGGGCATCTGGAAGAAATAAAAGTGCCAAGTACCCCTGAGGTACCAATAGTCCATCGCCAGCTCTTCATCGACGCGTCCGGAGGCGATGATGACCAGCTTGTTCACCTTTTCGGGCGCAAGCACCGTGGCGCCGATGACGGCACCGGCTCCCCAGTCGTTGCCGATGAGATAGGCCTGTCCGCCGCCCAGGGCATCGACCAAGGCGACCGCATCGCGGGCAAGGGTTACGGCGCGATAGTTCCCGTCGGCTGGCGCCTCGGTTGGTGCGTAGCCGCGCATAAACGGCGCCACGGCACGGAACCCCGCCGCTGCCAGTTCGGGCAGCAGGTGTCGGAATGAATAGGCGTGATCAGGGAAGCCGTGCAAGCAGAGCGCCAAGGGGCCCTCGCCCATCTCGAGATAGTGGAAGTTCAGGCCATTGGCCTGGACTGAGCCAGTCTTAAACTCAGTCATCTTTCCTCCCGTTCATCTTTAAGGTGTTCGGGATGTTAGGCAAGGCGCTGCATGGTGTCAACGGCGGTGCTCTTTCCGACAGGGAAATGGCATTGGGACCGATGGCTGCCGGGGCGGGATGCCCAGCCGGAGGCCGTGTGCCGGACCAGGGACCTCCCGTGCAGTTGCCGAAGGGCTGGGAAACATGGAACTGAATTTGTCCCACCCATTCCCACTTTGTCCCACTTTCACTGGCCGGCAGGCAGGATTCAAAGCTGAATTGCCGCATTTCAGGTGCCGTGGGACAGAAATTTTCAAAATCCGCCCCATTTTGTCCCACTTAGCCCCATCGGCCAGGTGCGGTGGCAGAGAGTTGCCGAGGTTTCTCCCGGCAAGCCTCAAGGCGATGGAAACTTCGGTGAATACGGGCATAGAACAATTGTACGTACAATAATGAGAGGTGGCAAGCAGCAAGTGTCATCAAGCAGGGCAATCGCGTCTTATTGCTCAGCACACAAAATTGGGCTGAATGGCGGTGGAGATGGGACTGGCAGTGCCTCCTTTGGTTCCGGGTGCGAGGGTAGACGGTGGTTTGGATTCCCGCCTGCGCGGGAATGACGACTTATAGGGCCTCCGGCGTTTAAGACGCGATTGCCCTGTGTCATCAAGCAGGGCAATCGCGTCTTATTACTCAGGACACAAAATTGGACTGAATGGCGGTGGAGATGGGAGTGGCAGCGCCTCCTTCGGTTCCAGGTGCGAGGGTAGACGGGGGTTTGGATTCCCGCCTGCGCGGGAATGACGATTTATAGGGCCTCCGGCGTTTAAGACGCGATTTCCCTGTGTCATCAAGTTACCCACGTTGAATCTGCCTGCTGCTCCGAAGCCGGGAGATGTGCGGTTGACACGACGGGTTATCGGGTACATATTTGCCTCAAACCCAGAGCAACCCGCTCCATCAATCGACCCACCTTTGGGAGGTGCAAAGCCATGCCAGCCCGTACCGGACAGGAGTACATTACCGGACTCAAAGAACGTCCCCGGGAGGTATGGCTGAACGGTGAGCGGGTCAAAGACGTTACCGAACACCCGGGGCTTCGCAACGGCGTGCGGTCGGTGGCGGCCCTGTACGACATGCAGCACGACCCATCGCTGCGGGAGGAGATGACCTTCGCGTCGCCGACGACCGGCGAGCCGGTGGGGCTGTCCTTCCTGATCCCCAAGACGATAGACGACCTGGTGCGACGGCGCGAGATGATGACGCGGTGGGCCTGGGCCAGCTGCGGGATGATGGGCCGATCGCCTGACTTCATGAACGCGATTTTCTCAGCCTGGGCCGGATCGGCGGGCTTCTTTGCCCAAGACCGCCCCGAGTTCAAGCAGAACATGCTGAACTACCACGAGTTCATCCGCGAGAACGACGTCACCCTGACCCACGCGCTGGTGAACCTGCAGCGACGACGCCACCAAGGGCCGACGGACATCCTGCACGACGACGTGGCCCTGACTGCGGTCAAGGAGACCGACGCGGGAATCGTGGTCCGCGGCAGCCGCACCCTTGCAACGCTGGGGCCCATCTCCGACGAGATCGCGATCTATCCCGTGGCGAGCCACAGGCTGGATGAGGAGGCGAAGCGGCAGACGTTTTCCTTCTCCATCCCCTGCGACACGCCGGGGTGAAGTTCCTGTGCCGCGAGAGCTTTGATTTCGGCCGGTCCCACTTCAATCATCCACTGGGTTCACGCTTCGACGAAATGGATTCCGTGGTGTTCTTCGACAACGTACTGGTGCCGTGGGAGCGGATTTTCCTGCTGGGCAACGTGGAAATGGGGAACGGCTATGCTGCCGGGACGCAGTCGGACGCTCACACTGGGCACCAGATACTGAATCGCTGCCTCGTCAAGGCGGAGTTCATACTGGGTCTGGCCGACCTGATCGTCGACACCCTCGGATCGGGCAGCATTCCGCATGTGCAGGAACAAGTGGCGGAGCTGATTACGGACCGGGACGTGCTGCGGTCCTGTGTGCGGGCGGCTGAGGCGGACGCCACGATGAACCAATATGGCATGATGTCCCCGGAGGTCAACGCCATCCGGGCAGGACGCACCGTCTTTGGCCGGTCGATGTTCCCGCGCATGGTGGAGATCATCCAGATGCTGGGCACGGGCGGCCTGATGGCCCTGCCTGCGGAGGCCGACTTCGAATCCGGCATCGGCCCAGAGATAGAGCAGTACTTTGCGACGGACTCGACGGATGCCCGCGACCGGGCCAAGCTGTTCCACCTGGCGTGGGATGCATCGTGCAGCGCGTTCAGCGGGCGGCAGGTGCTGTACGAGCGGATGTTTGGCGGGAACCCGGTGCGAAATTCGATCACGCTGTTCCAGAACTACGACAAAGAGCCGTTCAAGGCTAAGGTGCGCCAGTTCCTGGATAATGAGGACTGGCCCTAAACGCGCAAGTATCCGATCATCGGTTGACGAACAATAACGATATTAATAAGGAGGAAGGGAAATGTCATACACACCAATGGGCTTGGGACACCTCGTAATGCGGGTCAGGGATATTGACCGCTCCGTGGATTTCTACACTCGCGTGATGGGTCTGACCATCATGGAGAAGACGGCCAGCGGCACCGTATTCATGTCGGCCAACACCGAGAAGTCCCACGAACTGGCAATCCGCGCCATCGGCATGGACGCCGGCGGGCCGGACCACTCCATCGTGGGGCAGGCCCACATGGCATGGCAGATGGAGACGTTCGAAGACCTGCAGGAGCTGTACGACCGGATCCGGGAGAACGATGTCCGCATCGTGCGAATGGGCGACCACGGCGTCTCGATGGGCGTCTACCTGCTGGACCCGGATGACAACGAGATCGAAATTTACTACGAGATGCCCAAAGACCAGTGGGAACGCCACCCGGAGAAGGGTTTGTTCGGAAACCAGCACCCGCGCCAGCTCGAGGAGCGGGTCACGGTGGCCGGCGATTAACTACTGCCAGCAGCATCGCAACCAATGACCTCCAGATCGGAAACCGGGGCGGAGGGCATCTCCGCCCCGGAGCTGTTGAACAAGGCCTGCGACCTGTTGCCCGTCCTCCGGGAACGGGCTGCGCAGACCGAAGAACTGAGGCGCATTCCCGACGAGTCGGTCGAAGACTTATTTGCCTCCGGACTTTGCCGCATTGGGGTGCCAAAGCGGTTCGGCGGGCTGGACGTCTCCTACGGACTGGCCATCGATGTGGCTGCGGAGCTTGGGCGCGGCTGCCCGTCGACTTCGTGGTGCTACGGCCTCTGGGCGGCCCACGCCTGGCTGGTCGGCTTCTGGCCGCTACAAGCGCAGGAGGAGGTCTACGGGGACGGCCCGGACGTTCTGTGCTCCAGTTCGCTCAACCCAGGCAAGTCCACCTGCGAGGCCGTCGAGGGTGGATACAGGCTGTCCGGCCGATGGGAGTTTTCCAGCGGGTGCGACGCGGCCAGCTGGATAATGGTGGGAGCGCCAAACATCGGGGAGCGCACCTGGGTGCTGGTGCCCCGCGAGGACTTCGAAATCGTGGACACCTGGTTCGTCTCCGGACTGCGGGGCAGCGGCAGCAAGGACATTGCCATCCACGACGCCTTTGTGCCCAACCACCGCATCCTGGAGGTAACGACGGCCGGGGTCAGCGACCTCAGCGCGTACGAACTGCACGGCCAGGCCCAGTACCGTGTGCCCGTCTCCACCCTGCTGGGGTGGGACCTTGTCGGGCCCATGGTGGGGATCGCCCAAGGAATGATCGACGAGTTCACGTCCCGGCTGGAGGGGACTTCCGGGCCGGGCAGGACCGCCGACTCGCCAGCCATACACGTACGACTCTCGCAGGCATCCGCAGAGGTAGATGCCGCACGCGGGATGATGGAACAGGACGTCTGGGAAATACTTCGCAAGGGCGAGGCCGGGGAGTCCTTCAGCCTGCTGGGGCGAGCGCGGTTTCGCCGGGACAAGGCGTTCATTTCGCAACTCTGCCTGCAGGCGGTAAACCGACTGTTTGACCTGAGCGGTGGACACGGGTTGTTCGACTCCGTGCCCCTGCAGCGCTTCCATCGCGACGCTCACGCAGTGGCACACCGCGACGGCCTAATCATGGAAATGGGCGGGCAAGACTATGCCAGGGTGCTCTTTGGCCTGCCGCCATCCGGGCAGATCTAGCGGAACCGAACAGACCTCTTTCCGCTCGCTGACCGGGCTCTGTCGACCCTTTATTCGAGGGTCAAGTCAGGGTCTGAAATGGTGTCGCCATGGGGCTAGAGGCAGCGGCTTTAAGGCTCTCTGCCAGTAGCCGTTTCAGCCTTGACACCCTTATGGGGCGATGCTAGTATCGATTCAATTCCGTTGCCGCTTTGCGGCCATTTTTGTGTCGCGCATCAACCAATCCTCCGGTTGCCTGGCTGGCGGCACAGGTGCGCCGTCATAGTTCCTGAAACGGCGCGATTCCGTAAGGAGAATTGGGTATGCCTGAAATCGTCAAGGGACTCAAGGATGTCTACCTCGACACCACAGAGTCCAGCTTTATTGATGGCCAGGTGGGGAAGCTACTGTATCGTGGTTACGACATCCACGACCTGGCTGAGAAGTCCACCTTCGAGGAAGTAGTCTACCTACTGCTCTACGGCGACTTGCCCAGCAAGGAGCAGTTGGCTGCATTCGACGCCGAGCTCCGCGCCAGCCGGCGGATCCCCGACGGGATCATCACAGTGCTGGAAGTGATGAAAGCCGCCCATCCCATGGATGCCCTGCGCACCGGCATATCGGCGCTGGCCGGTTACGACGTGGCAGAGGTTGCCGACAATTCCGTCGAGGCGACCATCCGCAAGGGCATCCGCCTGACCGCCCAGGGACCGACGATCGTTGCGGCGCACCACCGGCTGAGGCAAGGGCTGGAGCCCCTGGCTCCCAATCCTGATCTGAGCCACGCCGGCAACTTCCTCTACATGATGTTCGGCGAATTGCCGGACGAGGAGACCACCGGCCTGCTGGACGTGGACTTCATACTCCATGCCGAGCATGGTGCCAACGCGTCGGCGTTCGCAGCGCGGGTAACCGCTTCCACCATTTCCGACCTGCACTCCGCGGTTGTCACCGGAGTGGGCACGCTCAAGGGCCCGGCCCACGGTGGGGCAGCCGAAGAAGTGATGAAGATGTCGCTGGACATCGGCAATCCAGAGAACGCCGAAGAGTATGCCCGCAATCATCTGGAGTCGGGTGGCCGCATCATGGGCTTTGGCCACCGTGTTTACCGTGCGGAGGACCCCCGGGCCCGCCACCTGCGCGACCGCGCCCAGGCCCTCGGCGAGAAGAAGGGCGAGCCGCGCTGGTTCCAGATCCTGTCGCACCTGGAACAGAAGACCATGTTGCCTTACCGCGATCGCGGCATCTGCGTCAACGTGGACTTCTTCGCCGGAGCGATCTACTACCTGCTGGACATTCGGACGACCTGTTCATCTCCATTTTCGCACTTGGCCGCATCCCCGGCTGGACGCTGCAGTGCGTGGAGCAGTACAAGGACAACATCCTGATCCGTCCGCTGCTGGAGTACATCGGCCCGATGGACCGCGAGTACGTTCCGATGGAACAGCGCAGTTAAACAGAGCCTTTAAACCGAACAACCAAGAGGGGCCGTAATCGCGGCCCCTTCTGTTTTGTACCACCAACAGAATGGCGACAACGTAAGTAAACCAGCAATGTCTGCCGAAGCCGAAATACGCCGCCGCATTTCCGCCAGCGGGGCAATGACATTCGCAGATTTCATGGCGTTGGCGCTGTATCACCCAGACGGCGGATACTACACGTCGGGCGATCGAATCGGGGCGGCGGGCGATTTCTACACCAGTCCGACGGTCCACCCTGCCTTCGGAGCGTTATTTGCCGTTCAATTGTTCCAGATGTGGCAACTGCTGGGAAGGCCGGTGCCCTTCACGGTAGTCGAGGCGGGCAGGCAGCGGGCTGCTGTGCCGCGATATCGTTGCCGGAGCGCAGGGGCTCTCCAGCGACTTCAGGCAGTCTCTGCGCTATGTCTGCATCGACAGGCGCGGGACCGGCGGGTTTGAGCGGGGCCTGTCCGGAGCTAGCCGGGTCGCGTCGAATGGGCTATCCCTGCGCGGAGTCGTCGGGTGCGTATTGTCCAACGAGCTGTTGGACGCCATGCCTGTGCACCAGGTTACGGTGGAAGGTGGGCAGCTTCAGGAGGTTTACGTTGCCCTGGGCGGCGGGGTTCTGGTTACTCAGACTGGAGAGCCGTCCACTCCGTTGCTGGAAAAGCGACTCGAGTCGCTGGGCGTAAAGCTGGCAGAGGGGCAGGTGGCCGAGATCAACCTCGCCGTCGATGGCTGGGTAAATGACGTGGCGCAATCGCTGGACAGAGGGTTTGTGCTGACCATCGACTACGGACGCTGGGCCGCGGACCTGTATTCGCCGTCAGAGCGCTTCCGGGGCACGCTGACCACATTCCACAATCACCTGCAGACCGACCGGCACTGGAACGCATCGGGCGGCAGGATATGACGGCGCAGGTGGATTTTACGGCGCTGGCGAGAGCGGGCGAGGGAGCGGGGCTGGACGTCCTGGGATATACCAACCAGTCGAATTTCCTGCAGCACCTGGGCCTGAATTACCTGTTGCAGCACCTGCCAACAGGCGAAGGACGAAGGCAAGCCCAGCGAGACCGGATGGGTATGCGAGAGTTGGCAAAGCCCGATGGGTTCGGCAATTTTCAAGGTCATGGCCCTCGGCAAGGACGTGAGAGAGCCGGAGCTATGGGGTTTCAAGCCGTCAGAAGAAGCGGAAACGCTGATCGAAAGCATGCCAATTCCGACTCTATCGCCTGAGCACGTTGACCTGTCCCAGGGGCGGTACCCATCGGCAGAGACGGAGTTCGAGGTGTCCTGGGATTCGCTCTGGCCCACCGACGGACCGGAAAGCTAGATCTTTCAATGGACTCAGAATTACGCTGACGGTTCGGCCAGGCCGATGCGAACGGAGACGGGCATCATGCTCTCGACGATGAAAGAGATGTGCTCGTCCAGGTCAACGCCCAACTCATCGGCGCCCTTCTGGATGTCGTCGCGATTCACGTCCTTGGCGAAGGCCTTGTCCTTCATCTTGCGGCGCACCGAACGGGGAGTCACTTCCTCAAGGCTCTTGTTGGGGCGAACCAGGGCCACGGCGCGGATGAACCCCGACAGCTCATCAACGGCGAACAGCGAATGCTCCATCAGGGACTCACGGGGGATGCCGGTGTGCTCGCCGTGGGTCAGCACGGCGCGGATGATGTCCTCGGGATAGCCCGCTTCCCGCAGTATCCCGGCACCGTAGGTAGGATGGCTCTCCGGGGTGGGACAGATCTCCCAGTCGAAGTCATGGAGCAGGCCAGCGATTGCCCAGCGCTCCTCATCCTCGCTGTACCTGCGAGCGTAACCGCGCATGGACGCCTCTACCGACAGCAGGTGCTTCATCAGCATGTCTGTCCTGACGTGCTGTTCCAGGAACTCGAGGGTCCTTTCCCTATTCATCAGATCCATCGGGCCTTTCCTCCGATGCGTCGAGGGTTTGTTCATCTTCCGTTTCACCGGCGGGCGGACGCCAGCCGGGCTTGGGCAGGCAGCGGACGGCGGTGGTTAGAAAGCCGCTGTGGGCCACCATTCGATGATCGGCCTCACGCTACGCTCTGTGACATGCCAGGTGCGCAGGAGCGTTTCCATGGATTCCACCATCTGGTAGCGCCCGTCCTGGTCCAAGGCACCGACCAGCCGGTGCACCTGCAGCACGGTGGGGAGGAAACTCAGCATCACCCCGCCCATGACCAGCGCGTCCGCGATGGTGCCAACAGCTTGCCAGGGTTCGGGAACGTCCAGCACCACGCGGTCGACGTCGCGTTCCTCGATGCCATCGTATATGTTCCCGATCTTGACCTCGAGGTTGGGTGTGTCTGGTATGACGCGATGGATGTTGCGCATGGCCTTGGGCAGAACCGACTCGTCAATCTCGTAGGTGATGACCCTGCCCTCCCGGCCGACAGCGCGGAGCAGGGCGGAGGTGAGGGCGCCGGAACCGAGGCCTCCCTCGATGACCGTGGCGCCCGGAAATATGTCGGCAAAGCTGACGATGTTGCCAAGATCTTTCTGGTAGATTATCTGGGGGCCGCGGGGCATCTGCCGCACATAGTCGCCCAAGGTCGGTCGGACAGCCAGCAATACGTGGCCGCGATCAGTGCGGTACCAGCCTCCGACGCTGCTGCCGATCAGCTGGTCGTGCTGGAGCCGGCCGAGATGGCTGTGAAAGGTTTCGGCTTCGCCCAGAGTAAGCAGGTATCGCCGGGACTTTCGGTCCATCAGTAGCGCAAGCTCGCCGGCGCAGAAACAGTTTGGATCGCTGCCGGAATCGACCCCCTGATCAAGTGGCTCCAGGGTTGTTGGTGCCTCGGTCATCGTTTCGTCCAAGATAATAGCCTAGTCGTCAGCGGGGGCGGAAACATTGCTTTCGTCGAATGCCGCCGGCCGGCTGCCCTCCAGGTAGGTGGTGTTGTGGTCTGCGTAGGGGTCCATGTCCGGGAACACTACGAGCAACTCTGCGTTTTCTTCGCCAACAACCCTGAAACCGTGCTCCGCGCCGGGTGGGAATAACCAGGGTGTGGTCTTTCTCCACGCGGTGCACCTCGCCATCGATCCGGACCTCAAGGGCCCCCGATATGATGACGATCAACTCGTCGATTTCGTGGGTGTGCAGAGGAGCGCCGGTGCCGGGCTCTGCGGTGTTCAGGCTAAGTGAGGTGGAGACGCCATGCTCGTGGGTGGTGATATCCCACTTCCGGTAACCGGGCCTCCAGGGGACTTCGGGGGCTTGGCGGTGATCGATGATCGGCATATCGCATCCTCGCCGCCAGTGATATGCAGCCATTATCGGCCCCGGCGGGTTGCAGTATTGTACGCCATTTGGCTGGCACCGGCATGACGATTGCGCCGGACATCTCCGTTGGGCTACATTCAGGGGACTGGAAATATCGATGGTGGTTATATGCAGCGACGCCTGTTCACCTTTGAGGAAGCAAACGCCCTTATATCCTGGTTGCAGCACACTTTCGATCGGCTGAATTCCTCGATGGAGCGCCTGGAAACGCTGCGAGAGAAGCTGGACGGCCTTCAGCGAGAGCGGCAGCGCCAGAACGGCACTTTTCGGCAGCACAACGAGATTCAAGAGACGCAGGCCGAACTGGAAAGTATAGGCAGCGACGTTCGAACCCTGGTTGATGAGATTACTGGCGAGGGAATCATCGTTCGCGACATATCCCAGGGCCTGGTGGATTTCCCTCACATGCGGGAGGGCCGCGAGGTCTATCTCTGCTGGATTGGAGGGGAGGAAAGCATCGGATTCTGGCACGAGACCGACCGCGGGTTCATGCACCGACAGCCGCTGTAGACTGTATCCGCAGGGCCTACGATCCAACCGGTGCAGGGCACCGGCTTTTCGCGATATTATGAGACCTCAAAATAAAGCTTATGGAGCGAGATATGGCTGATTACATTGCGTCGCCGAGGGACTGGGTTAGAGAGCAGGTCGAGACTTACGAAAGCAGCGGAGGAACGCAGGGGACGACTCTGCGCGACACCGGGTTGCCCGTCATCGTCGTGACCAACAAGGGCAACAAGACCGGCGCCATCAGGAAGACGCCCCTGATGCGGGTCAAGGACGGCAACAACTACGTGCTGGTAGGCTCCGTAGGCGGAGCGCCGAAAAACCCGGTGTGGGTATACAACCTCAGGACCGACGCCAATGTGGAGGTCCAGGACGAGGCCGAGGTCCACACCATGCGGGTCCGGGAAGTCCCGGACGGCCCGGAGCGGACCAGGCTGTGGGATATCTCTGTCGAGGCCTTTCCTCCCTACGCGGAATACCAGGGCCGCACAGCCCGCAAGATCCCGGTGTTCCTCGCCGAGCCTGCCTAGCTGTGCATAACGCAGCAAGGTCGAAGATCCGTCGTTCCGTTTCCATTCCGGCAGCGTAACACCCGGTGCGAGGCGCTTTTTGGGCCGGTCCGCCACACTTTTCGTTGGGCGGGCCGGTTTTCTGTTGGTCAGAATCCTGAAATGCCTGCAGGTACCCTCGCGCCCGGCGTATTCGCGGGGTCCATCCTTATATAATTGAAGTATGTTCTCAATCGCTTCCCTTGTTAAACGAAGGCTGCATACCCCGTTTGACCGCCAACGGCGGCGCGCCGTCGACGAGGTCGGGCGGCGGCGGGGCCGCGTGTTGCGCCACCGGCGCCTTCTGCGGGCGAGAGTGTCTATCAGGCGGAAGGAACGCCGCCTCATGTCCAATCAGTTCGTTGAACTGGCCTACCGCACGGTGCGGGAGATGAGCACCGACGATGCCACGCACATGGCGGCGGGCCTGGCTTACTATGCTGTCCTATCGCTCTTCCCCCTCAGCGTGGGGTTGATCAGCCTGCTCGGCCTGCTCCTTGAGCCGGAGGTGCTGGAGGGCGAGGTATTCGCGTTCTTTGAGACCTACCTGCCGGTTTCCAAGGAACTGCTGTCTGCCAACATTGCGGCGGCCGGCAATCTGCACGGCTTCCTGGGGGTGATTAGTTTCTTCGGCCTCTTCTGGTCCGCCAGCCTGATGTTCGGGGCCATCACACGCTCGGTCAACCGTGCCTGGGACATACACCAGGACCGGCCCTTCTATATCGACAAAGTCCGGAATATCGCGATGGCTCTCAGCGTCGCGCCGCTGTTCCTGTTATCCGTCAGCACAACGGCTGCGCTGCAGATGCTGGAAGGAGCGGATCTCCCGGTGGGTGTCGCCAGTCTGCTCTTGGAACATGGAGTTGCCGACACTGTGTCGCGTATTCTGCCCTTCCTGTTCTCCTTGACCATTTTCCTGCTGATTTACAAGTTCACTCCCAATACCCAAACACACTGGCGCTACATATGGCCGGGGGCGCTGCTGGCAGCGGTACTGTTCGAGGTGTCCAAAAGCGTCTTCGTCTTCTACGTGGACAACTATGCGAACTATGAAGAGGTCTACGGCTCCCTGGCATCGGTGATTGTGCTCTTGGCATGGACCTACTTTTCCGGGCTGATTCTCATAACCGGGGCGGAATTCACCTCGGAATACGAGCGAATGAAGCACGGTGTCGAAAGAGGCCAGACTGTCGCGAGGCACAGCGACAGAAAACCGCGGGACATAGGGGCGGAAGAGTAAGGGGTTGATCGTCCCCACATCCCTATCAGCTACTCGCCCGTGCATCATCGCCAGAACCGCAGGGCCGGTTGAGGTGGGCGCCCCTCAGTTTTCGCCCTCGGCGCCGTCATCCCTGTCCAGATCCCCGGTTTGATCGCAAGCGACTTCTGCCGAGTGTTCCTGAGATAAAGGCACTGGCAGGTTGTTCCATTCCCTGGACAGGTACACGGCGAAGTCCCTGATGAGGGCAACCAGCGGCGGCCCGAGGATGACGCCCCAGAGCCCGAAGTAGTTGCTGGCAATTACGATCACCATGATCACGGCGACCGGGTGAAGCCTCAGGGAATCGCCCTGTATCCGGGGCACCAGCAGAATGTTTTCCACCAGCTGCACACCCAGGTAAAGCAGGATCACCCAGGGAGTCATTGCCGGCTCCGTTGCCAATGTAACGAGCACCCCTACGGCGCCGCCTATCCAGGGTCCAATGACTGGCACCAGCTCGGTCAGGCCGGCCACGATACCCAGCACGAAGGCAAAGGGGACTCCCATGAGAAGCAGCCCGACCGTAACGACCGTCGCCACTATCACTCCCAGCGTGAGCTGGCCCCTGATGTATGCCCCGATCGTCCGGTCTGCAATGTCGAGGACATCCTGCAGATAGGGGCGAAAGGCCACCGGAAAGGGAGCGGGGAGAGCCGCCCTTATGGCTGATGCGTCCTTCATCAGGTAGAAGATCATCACCGGGGCGGTGACCAACCCCAGGATGACAGCGAAGGAGCTGGAAACCACCCTGACCGTTTGCGTTACGACGCTCCATGCCGCATCGCTGACCGCCCCGCCGGCGCCCGCCGCGGTTTCCTCGATCTTGGCGCGCATTTCGGCCGGTATCTGATCGGTATAGCTGGACACCCACCCCTCAACCGTGACCTGGGCTGAGCGGAAGAACTCTGGAAATTCCTCGGCGAATTGCTGGGCTTGCTCGACGGTTGGGGGAATGACGACCGCCAGCAGGCCGGCCGCGATTCCGAGCAGAACGACAAAGATTCCGGAAACGGCGACGCCCCGGCTTAAACCAGGGCGTTCATTCCTCCATGGCATTCCGCGTTCCAGCAGACGGGCCACCGGCAGCAGCACGTAAGCTGCCACCACGCTGAGGCCGAGAGTCAGCAGCACCGTTCCCAGCAGGTAGAGCACCAAGCGCGTGGCGACTACGATGACCGCAGTGCCCACCAGCAGGCGGCGCTTGCGCTTCAGCTCAGGGTGCATTCAGGCCAGCTGCGCTTCTTGGGCACGCGAAATCTCCTCTTGATCTGACTTTAGAATCCACCGTTTCTGTTGACCGACGGTACCGCGGTAACTCCATTCGGTGGCGGCAGCAATCCCAGGGACCGCGTTCACCAACTTGCTGGAACGCTCTCATTTGGTATTTGCGGCCAACGACAAACCGCCGAAGTATACAGCGGGGAACCGGTTTCGCCGGTGGGTCTGGTTAATCCGCAAGGCCAATTCTCGGCAGGGATGGACGCAGAGATCCTGGTACTGCCCACCCACCGCTGTAGTGGCTATCACAAAGTGGCGTACTGGCAGGCTCTGCTGCAACATCTGATTTGCGCGTTGTATCGTATGTGTTGATATACAGTATTCCATAATATCAGAGGTGCGATATGATCTTGCCAAAGAAACGAGGGTCCGAGCAGGATTGCAGGATGCCCAGGAGGTGGAGCAACTGGAGGCTGCTGGGGGCCTGGGTGGTGGCCCTTACGGTAGCGGCAATAATACTCATCATCTTCCGGCCATCAATGGCCCGCGCCGACGAGGGCACTAGCGGCGAACCCGGCGCCCACGCTGTGCATTATGTCGCCGGAACCACCGAACAGGCGGCTTGTTCACCTAGCGGGTCAGACTTGTACGACGGATTGGAATTGACGGCGATTTCGCCACTGGACTACAACCGCACACGGGAGGGCGAGTCCACAACTCCCAGGGGCTGCGACATGACCTCGGTCTGGTCAACCACCCTGGCAGTTGGCCAGCTTGACGGAGACACAGACACCTATCTCGGATACTCGGCCACCGGTAACACAGCCTTTGGAAAGCTGGGCGATACGGACTTTCATTACAACCTGCAGGACTACACGGTGGCAGCGCTCTATTACCAGTACCAGGAAAACATCAGCACCTATAAGCAACTGGTCATCAGCGCCAATACCCGCCTGCCGAGCCGCCTCTCTCTCCTGATTGATGGGGAAAGGTTCCGGGTCTCTGAATCGAAGGTCCTGGGTAGCAATCAAAACATTCACGCCTGGCCATTGGACGAAGACCCTGGGTGGACCGATGGCCAGAAATTGAGAGTCAAGATGACCTCGCATTAGCGGGCATCAGACCCCCGTGGGAGTGCCGGCCCGTTGGAGACCGGCGTCCCGTTCGCGGCTGGCAGTCTCGCAATAGCAACAGCGGATGGCTGGGCACAAACCATGCCATCCGCTGTAACTCGTATGGCAAAACGACCTACGGGCGGCAACCTGACGGCGGCAGTTGCCGGTTAGCCCCGTCGCAACTCGTAACGGTAGGCCGTGTGGGTACCTCTGTCGGGCACCGCCGTGGGGCTGGCAGCCGGGAAGGGGTATGACGGATCGACTGCCTTCTCAGCCAGGGTGTTGCGGACAGAGCCGATACCATCAACCTCCATCTCAACCACATCGCCGGGCTCGAGGGAAGCGGGCCGCCTCGTAGCCCTTGCGGATGGCCTCACGGACCGAGCCGCCACCCACGGTGCCGCTGCCTATGACGTCTCCCGGGGCTATGCGGCTGTCCTTGGACGCTCGCTGAACGATCTCGCCCCAAGTGTAGTAGGCCATGGAGGCGTCGCCGTCGGTGAGCCACGACTCCCCGTTGACCCGCACCTGGCACTTCACGGTCAGGCGCCCATCGCGGATGTAGGGGGCCATCTCGTCGGTGGTCACCACCCATGGCCCGAGGGTGCTGGCGGTGTCCTTGCCCTTGGCCGGGCCGAGGCCGAAGGCCATCTCGTCGAACTGCACGTCTCGGGCACTCCAGTCGTTGAAGATGCAGAACCCCGCTATGTGGGAGAGGGCGTCGCTTTGCGCCACATCGGTACCGTTCCTGCCGATGACGGCCCCGATCTCCATTTCGTAGTCGTATTGATCCGAGGTGGACGGGAACGGGACCGTGTCATCCGGACCGTAGATGCAGAGAGTGTTTGAGAAATAGAACACCGGCATCCGGTACCAGACCTCGTTGGGTTCGCGGGTACCCTGGGAACTGGCGTGCTCCTCGTAGACGATGAAGTCGCGCACCGTGGGAGGCTGGAGGATCGGCGAACGCAGGCGCACGGCGTCGAGGGCCACTGCCGGGGCGGCGGCCCCACCGGCCAATGCGTCTCCCACGCGGTCAACGGACGATTCGTCCAAGGCCAGCAGCGCGCCGACGTCCCGGATGGTACGCGGCTCCCCCAGCAGCGCGGTTACGTCCACCACGCCGTCGCCCCTGCAGCACGCCGCAGCGCGGCCCCGTGCCGTTGTCGTAAGTCAGCAGTTTCATGTTTGATACTCCTTCAGCAATGTCCATCCCCAAAGAAAAGGACGCAGAGATTAACGATTGTCTCTGCGTCCGTGGGTTCAGCCAGTTTCTAGTGCATCGGGGAGAAGCTGGCGGGGGCCACTATCTTGTTCTCCTGGGAGACTCGGCCCGGGGCTCCGCTGGGCCACTGCGGGATCTTGCTGGCGGCGGCGCGGACCTCGGCGCGGTGGTTCAGGTCCTTGTAGGGCCAGATGTGCAGCCACTTGTTCAATCCGCCGAACTCGGTGTACATACCGGCAGCTAGGGGCGAGAACTCCTCGCGGTAAGGGATGGAATCAGCCCAAAGGCGCAGCAGCTCGGGCATGGATCCGGGCTGATAGGTGTAGGTGCGCATCTCGTAGATGGCTCCCAATGCCTGGTCGCCGCCCATGGGGCGCATGAAGGGGGCAGGCTGCCAGACCTCGGCGTTCATGTTCAGTATGTTGCCGGGGGTGATCTTCGGAGGCCAGTTCTCTTCCTTGCTGGCGGCCGCCCGAACCTTGGCGCGCTCCTCCAGGCTTTCGTAGCCCCAGACGTGGATAATCTGGTTTAGCGGACCGATTTCGGTGTGCCAGAAAGCGGCGATTGGCGAGTACTTTTCCCGATATGGCAAGGCCTCGGCAAAGGCTTCCTCGGCCTGCGGCACCGCTCCCGGCTTCAGGTCGTACGTACGAACTTCGTAAATCATGCGATCTCCTTCAATGTTTGACGCTCACTTCTATTATTCAGAAGCCAATTCAAAACTACGGGAAGTGTAGCAACCGCACCAAGAGGCGGCAAGCATAGGCAGGCATACCCGATGCCGCTCCATTTCAGGTGGTCGAGCCATCTGTTCGCCCACGGGCAACATCGCTTGGACACCGATGGGGGCCGGCCCCGGATTTCCGGGTCCCCGGAGGGACGGCGGGCCGGGGTGCTGTGCTGGGGAGGGCCGTATATCGGGTCAATGCCATTGAGGGGGGCTAGTCTGTGCAATTGTGTGCAGTTTTGGAGATCTTGGGGTGGTCGGCCAATGCTCCCGTCGGAGTGGGGAGAAGGTCCTGCCGCAGGAACACGCACGGGCTAAGGTCGTGGTAGTTGGGCATGTATACACTCGGCGCGTCGGTCGCGGTGTTGGAGTAGCGGTCCGATTGGTCCGCCGTATTCGATGGTAGGGGGTTGGCAAGCGGCATCAAAATATACGAATGCGATAGCCGTTAGGGTTACCCGGCGGCTCTTGCGTTCCCTGCCCGAATTCTTGCACTATATTTCTCCATCCACACAGAATCGGGGGGACTCCCATGACGCAGGAACTGGGCCGCATCAGTCGACCATCGGTGGAGCAGTACCGAGGACGTCGAAAGCTGATCCTATTGCCGCTGGTGTACAGTCCGGCCCCGGATGAACCTGACGGAGCGGCCGCGCTGCAGAATTACTGGGACCAGGCACAGACGCAGGCGTCGGCCCTCGAGAACGCCCTTGGCGGCCTGCAACGCGTCTACCACGAAAGCGTTACGGCAGGGGAATCCGAGGGTCTTGAGCAGCTGCGGTCGGGTGACCTGCGGAGCCACGCCCTCGTCTCGCTCAAGTGCGAGTCCGGAGCCATGCTGGAGGCCACGGAGGACATCGAGATCCTGCTGGAGACGCTGGACTTGCAGCGCTGCCTGATGATGCCGATGGCAAGCTCCACCGTGGCGTCCCGGCTGCAGGAGTGGCACGCCGAGGCCAACCGCAGGCGATACGAGCACATCGCCGACCGCGTCGACTCGACCCTGGAGGAAGACAGTGTTGGGCTGCTGCTGATCAGCGAACGACACCAGGTGCAGTTCCCACCGGACATCGAGGTCTTTTACGTCTCGCCACCGGCCCTGGACGAGTTCCGTCGCTGGCTGCAGAACTGGGCGGCGCGCCAGCAGCAGGCGGCCGTCGACGCCGCGACTGCACAGTTCTCCGCCGAGGAAGCGGAGGACGAGTCCACGATTGACACCCCGCCGGTCTGATTACATACTGGCCTCGACCCCTCATTTCAGCTATCCGGCCATCTATGGTCCGCACGGGGGCGCCTTATGAATCGAGAGTTTTTCTTCTTTACCGAGATGGGGTACACCGCCTACCCGCAGGACGAGGCAAAGCGTCTCGGCTACAACAACCTGATGTATCCGAATGAGCACTTCAGCCCCGAAACGGCGCAGGAACTGTACAGCATGTACTTCGACGAGCTGCAGTACTGCACCGAGGCTGGGTTCGACGGCGTGATGATCAACGAGCATCACAACAACCCGCTGTGCATGATGCCGTCGGTCAACGTCATTGGTTCCGTGCTGGCCTCCCGCACCAAGCAGGGCAAAATCGTGTTCCTGGGCAACGTGCTGCCCATCCACGAAAACCCCCTGCGCATCGCCGAGGAAATCGCGATGATCGACATCCTGTCGGGCGGGCGCGTAGTGTGCGGTTTCGTGCGAGGCATCGGCCAGGAAGCATGGCCACCAACACCAACCCGCTCTACAACTCGCGAGCGCTTCGACGAAGCCCACAACGTAATCGTGGATGCGTGGACCAAGCCCGGTCCCTTCCGGCACGAGGGCAAGCACTACCACTACCGGGTGGTCAACCCCTGGGTGATGCCGCTGCAGAAGCCTCACCCGCCCATCTGGATCCCGGGAGTGGCCTCTCCGGAGTCGGTGATCTGGGCGGCCAAGCACCAGTATCCCTATGTGGCCCTCGCTCCGCCTCTGCAGTTGCTGTCAGACATCTACCAGCTTTACCAGAACACCGCTGAGGCCGACGGGTGGTCGCCCACGCCGCAGCATCGCGGCTACGCGGTGCGGGTGAACGTGGCCGACACCGACGAAAAGGCCTACGAGGAAGGCAAGAACTTCTACTGGCAGTTGGGCACGTCCTTCGGCGTCACTCCCAACCACTGGCTGGCACCGCCGGGCTACCTGACCCGTGCGGCCTCCACCGGCCCCCGGGAGCAGGCCCGCCGAGCGGTGCAGACCGCCGTACCCGGCGGCCCGGTGCTGCCCTACGACGACGCCCAGGAGACCTATCAGATAGTGACGGGCAACCCGGACACGGTCATCAAAAAGATGAAGCACCTGATCGATATTATTGACCCCGGCTATGTAATCTTCTGGGGCCGCGAGGGCCCGATGTCCCACGACGTTGCGGTTCGCAGCATCGACCTGATGACGCAGGAGGTCATCCCCGCCCTGCGAGAGTACGAGGCACAGCGAGAAGAGTAGGGGCGGTCAGCCGATTATCTGATTAGTACCCAGTACACGCTTCCTCAGGGTTCAATTCAGAACCGGGCGGGGTTCCTTTTGTGAATCTCCCCCGGTTCTTTTCTTTCGCAGTTGCGTCATTTCGACACCCGTATCCGACCGGAACGGACGGGTCGCTCAATTATGCCCCGCGTCTCCCCTGATTCCCATGTTGTGGGCACAAGTCGAGGCCCCGCGCCGGTCAGTTGAGTGCACAACCGTTGATTGACAGAACGTGGTATGCTTGGGGCCTATCCACATAGCGAAACTGCGAACCTGAAGCGCGAAAGCGACCTGAGCGCCGAGCTCTCTTCTCCAAGGTTTAGGGTTGTGGTATCAGTGGCAAATCCCCAGCCCTTTCCCTTTGCGAGGAGAAATTCGCATGGTAACTGCGGGCCTTATTTCTCTACCTGCTACAAGACGCAATTTCCGCACCTGCTTGCCCGCTAATGTGTATTGACCCCTTCAGGTTTTCTGGAGGGGTCAATACGTTTAGGCGCACCGCCGTAGCGGGGACACCCACAGCCCGGTAAGGCCGTTGATATTCTAACAACGGTTGCCGTGTGGGTCAAACTGGCAGGGTCGATTGCCTCCCGCAAGGCGAGTCTTCACGATAAGGACTCCCTCATGATGGATTGGCTCAGGCGGAAAGATTGGATCCAAGGGGAAGGGAACGGCTTTTCCCAGACAACTAGTTTTATAGCCTTCCTGGTTATGCCGGGTTGCGTGTTTGGGGCCATCATTCAGTGGCTCTTCCTGCGCGACTGAACCCTCTCTCCTGCACCATAAGGCAAACCGCCGACGTTGTATCAACAATCGGCGGTTTTCTTATTTAAGGGGCGAAAAGTTTTAGGAGGTCGCGACTTGGCAGCCTACCGATGCGGCCTTTCCCTGGGTCCGATGTTTCCCTAACGCTGGTCACCCGGAAGGCGCGTGGCGACGCTGCCCATGCCGGGCGTTGGCCAGTTGCCGGTGAGGTAGTCGTAGAGGTTGGCGGCGCTGATGCGCATCACCATCGGGGCCATTCCTTCCTGCTCCACGTCCATGGGATAGCGTTCGGTCATGGCGGTCAGGGTGGACACAGCCTCTTCGCGGGTCAGTCCCCGGTCGACGGCGTCCTTGACGTATTCCTTCCACTCGATGATGAACTCGCCCTGCTCGTCCAGGTAGTCCTTGCCACAGAGCGCGCCGTGGCCCGGCACGAAGATGTCCTCGTCCAGCTTGCGGAGAGACTCCAGGGCCACCAGCCACAGGTCGGGGTTGGACTCGTGGAGCCAGGTCTGCACCCCGTGGAATATGTTGTCGCTGGTGAACACCACGCCCTCTTCCTTGATCACCACCGCTGCCTGGTACAGGGTGTGGCCTGGCATGTGGATCATCTCGAAGGTGTGGTCGCCGACGCGGAGAGTCATGCCGTCCTGGAATGTGATAATCGGCGGGTTGGCCGTGTATCCCTCCAGCAGCGCCGGTTCCTCCGGGCCGAATGTGCCGATGCGGGAGACGTGCTCGGCCATGTCGGTGTTCAGGATCCGGGTGCGGACGCCCTCGTGGGCGATGACGGGAGCATCGAAGAAAGCGTTGCCAGTCCAATGGTCGCCGTGGGGCTCGGTGTTGATTATGTAACGCAGTAGGCCGCGTTTCTCGATCTCCGCCTTCAGCCACATTGCGGTGCTGGGCTTGTGCGGACTGTCGATCATAACGATGCCGTCCGAGGTGGTTACGAAGCCGTAGTTGCAGCCACGCACTTCGGTCTCCACCCAGACGTTACTGGTCAGCTGTTTCATAGCGCCCTCCATCGGGAAATGCCGGCGGGAAATTGCCGGGTCAGGATTCCGGAACGACCGCATTCTACACCCGTTGACCGGCTCCAGCGGATGCGCCTATGCTGGAATTCGTACTTGACCGGAACGAGGGGAGCATTGGATACCCAGGAACTGGACCTGCACGGCAAGACGTGGCCCGAGGCCCTGCAAGAGTTCGTTGACGCCTACAACAAGGCTGTGCAGCCCGGCGGCCACACCTGCCGCCTTCTCAGGGTAGTCCACGGCTACGGCTCGACCGGGGGGCCCGGAATTCTCCGCACCAGGTTCCGGAAGTTCCTTGAGAAGCACGACGGCAGGCTGGAATTCACGCCTGGGGAGAAGATCAGCGTCAATCCCGGGTTCACCATGGTCACTCCCAAGTTTCCCCTGCCAGGTGGGGACGCCGCCCTTTGCGAACTGGTATGGGACTACTGCGAGCAGCCGAAAACGCTGGCCAGGATAGTTGGGCAGTTCCGGCGGTACGGAAATCCCCGGGTGCAACAGGCAGTCCGTTCTCTGGAATCCCAGAAGAGACTGCGAAAGACGGCCAAAGCCAGGAACAGCGTATACCAGGCTGTCTAGCCAGCGGGCTGGTAACGCTTCAATTCGGTGGAGTACCTGCTTGTAACTCTTTTTTGCTCGACAAGGCCGCCTTCGACCTGCCCGAGAGCGAAATTCTGCGGAAGTGTGCCAACCACAGCCAGAGGAAGCATCTGCGAGCCGTCTGGATGGTTCGACCAGCCCCGACGAAACGCTCATTTCCTGACAATCAATTCTTGCCAATGGGGTGGCAGCCGGATAGAATCGAATGTATGTTCTCTCCATGCTCTTTTTGTGCCTCGGCGTTCCTACTTCCCTCGGAATCTGCAATTTCTGTAATTCTGGTGGGAAATGAGCGGATATGAGCGGGAAATTGAATATTTTCCTATTCACAGACGGCCCTCCAGCATCTCTCTTGAGGCGCCTTGCGGCGACAGCAAAGTGTCCAATGGAGACCTCATTTTTTGCAAAATGTCTCACAATGGCACGGAATGTCATACATTTTACGGGGGTGTCCTTTTCGGGATGGATCTGGGTTGCGGCTCTGCCAACCCGCCGCTCCGGTGAAAGCTGTAGACTCCGGCACAGTCGGGGCCCGGACCTCCCCCATAACAGTGCGCCGCCGTAATTGCCGGGGTGCTTGAATCTAACCCACGTGCGCAAATACACTCTGAGACCACTCCTGTTCGCGGGACAGGTGGCTCAACAGCCTTCTTTCCATAGCTGCGAACCGGATTGTCTGCCGGACGTTACGTGATGCGCTGGTATACTTTCAACACTAAATGACGAGAGGGTTGATATGGGTGAAATGTTGCAGCAGGGGGGAAGGTTCCCTCAATTGGATTTGAAGCTGCTGGAAGGCGGGACTATCTCGCTGCCGGGGGATGCGCCCAGCCGCTACACCGCACTGTTGTTTTACCGGGGCCACTGGTGACCGTACTGCCAGCGGCAGTTGGCCGCATACGAGGCAGCCAAGGCGGAACTGGACGCGCTGGACGTGACCGTCTACGCCGTCAGCACTGACAATGAGGAGCATGCCCGGGAGGTGCAGGGCAAGGGCCTTTCCTTCCCAGTGGCCTACGGGGCGACCCAGGCCGACGCCGACATCATCGGCGCCTGGTGGTCGGACGACCGGGGCGGGGTTTGTCCAGCCAGCAGAATTCCTGCTGGGTCGCGGCGGAGTGGTCCTCGGCTCGATGTATGCCTCTGGCCCGGTGGGTCGAATGGCCTCGGACGAGGTGATTTACGCAATACAGTCTCGGGAAAACCGTCGGCGCCAGGAAGAAGGCGAAGCCGCTGGGTAGCCCCAGTTACCGACCCACCGCCAAGGGAATGCGGAGAGAGTAGTGACAGGGTAGTAAGGAAGATGAACGAGTCCAATCAGCAGCTAGTAGACATGATGGAGCACGTGTGGAGTTCCATCAGCGACTTGTGCGACGGCCTGACCGAATCAGAGTGGAAGACACCCACCGACTGTCCTGCGTGGGCCGTGCAGGACCAGGTATCCCACATGTCGGGGTCGGAGTCGGGCATCCTGGGCAATCCGGACCCGGACCACGAAGCAGCCGGCGTCTCCCACACCCGCAGCGACCAGGGCCGGCACAACGAAATGATCGTTGACTACCGGCGTTCATGGGACGGGAGGCAGGTGCTGGAGGAGTTCCGGCAGAATACGAGGCAGCGACTGGAGTTCCTTCGAAGCCGGACCGACGACGATTTCGCTGCCGAAATGCAGACTCCCATCGGGCCGGCCCCAATGGCGGAGTTCATCAGCATCCGCATTATGGACGCCTGGGTTCACGAGCAGGACATTCGGCGCGCTCTCAACCGGCCCGGACACATGGACAGCCCCGCCGCAGCCCATGCCGTGAACCGCATCATTCGCGCCATGCCCTTCGTCGCTGCCCGCCGGGCTCAGGCCCCGGACGGTTCAACGGTGGTGCTGGATGTTTCCGGCGCAGCGGGCCGGGTAATGCCCATCGGAGTGGATGGAGGCCGCGGGCGTGAATTGGACGCAGCCCCCCAGGACCCCACGGTCCGGATCAGCCTGGATGCGGAAACTTTCAATTGCCTGGGGTGTGGGCGCTGGGATCCGGACGAGGTTATCAGCTCGGGCAGGGTGTCCATAACGGGCGACATCGCATTGGGCGAGTCCATCGTCCGGCAGATGAACATAATGCCCTGATATGTGGATTTCCGGGTTAATTTGAACAGCCGGCGCCTTTGGGGACACCTTCCCGGCGCCGGTTCAGGTTTAACTGCACCATATTAGGTGATACTATTGCGAAGCTATAATCTGGCGTGCCCATAAAACGGCAAAGGCTGAGTTTAGAAGTTGCAGAGGCGGACCGACCTGGAATCCTCAGGAAGCGAAGTAACCCAGCCACAGGCCAGAGGTCTGGCGGCGCGACTCCCCTTCCATTACAGCTGGATCATCGTTGCCATACTTGCTACGGTCCAGATTTTTGCCAGTTCCATCAGCATGGCCGCTGGCATCATGCTGCCCCCACTTACAGACGAGAACGGGGCTTTTGGCTGGAATGAGAGCCTTGTAACCCTTGGCATCGCCTGCTACTACGGGTTCGGCGCCCTTTACGCCCCCATCACCGGTTGGATGGGCGACCGGTTCGGCTCGCGAATCATGCTGTTTGCAGCCGCAACGCTTTACCTCATAAGCATGATGCTGCTCAGCAGGATCACTGAACTCTGGCAATTCTTCCTCTTCTTCGGGGTGCTCCTCTCCCTGACGCAATCGCTGGGCATGGTCCCGCTGATGGCGTCGGTCAGTGGATGGTTCCGCCGTCGGCTTGGTCTGGGAATCGGAATCCTGTGGGCTGCAGGCGGCATCGGCACAGCGGCCTTTGCGCCCATAGCTGGGTGGCTCATCGAGTCCCTGGGATGGCAGGCCAACTTCATGGTCATCGGCCTGATTGGCGGCATTGCCATGCTGTGCCTGGTGCCATTTATGCGCAACCGCCCCTCCGATTTGGGAATAGAGCCTTATGGCACACGGCCTGGAGACTCTTCGTCAGCGCGGTTGGCAAAGGGTCTGGAGCAGCTTCGGATAAAGACCTTCAACCGGCACATACGCGGCACGCGTCCTTTCTGGAATCTGCCCCTGATTCACGGTCTGGGCTGCGCGGGCCACGGCATCATACTCATCTACGTCGCCAAGTACGCCATCGACACGGGCGTTTTCAGCTCGCTCGCCACGGCTGGACTCATCCTCGCGATCATTTCGCTGGTGAGCATCATCAGCAGGTTCGGCACCCCTGTATTGGCCGAAATCTATGGAACCAGGCGAATGATGGCGATGAGCCTGGCGGTCCAGGGCCTCACCGTACCCCTCATTATGTTTGGTCCCGCAGAGCCCTGGCTCTTCTACCTGTTCGCGGTCACTTTCGGCTTGGGGTTCGGTGGCGAGTGGACCGGCTATCTCATCATCAACCGGCAGTATTACGGCGACGGCCCGATGGGCACGCTCTACGGCCTGCAGACGACCGGGGCTCTCATGGGCCACTTCGTAGCAACCGCCCTGGCTGGACTCATCATGTACGTAACGGGCTCATACATGGCCATCCTGGGCCTGTCCATGGCCTACAGCCTGGGCGGCGTACTCGTAATCTCCCTGCTGGAAAACAACTCGGAGGTGCTGATCCCCGACTGGGAGAGCGAGCTTCCCGACGAGGCACGACAGAAGGCGACGCCCATCAGGGCCGCACCACCTAGAGTGGCAGCCCCCGCACCAGCGGGCGGCGACGGCAACGATTGATGGCGGCCGAGCCATCGACCATGTGAAGAAACTGGGGCGCACAATGTGCGCCCCCCTGCTTTATTTGACCCGGACCTCTTTAAGAGGGTACTGGACGTTCAGCGGTAGGCGTTCAGCCACCTTCCAGGAACTCGCGTACGAAGGCCGTGGCGGGCTCCTTGTCATACAAGCTGTTGAGAAGCACAACATTTCGGTAGACGTCGCCCTGGAAGAAGCGTTCGTAGAGGATCTGCCGAGATCCGAACGCACTGCAGCAGGTGTCCCAGGCCAAGCGGAAGAGGCGCACCCTGTCCTCGGCCGTCGCCGTGTCGGTGTCCAGGTAGCTGGCCAGCTCATCGGCCAGCGGCCCCTTCAGGTCCGCCTCTGTGGGCAGGGCCATCAGGCTGCTGGAACCCATCAACTGCAGTATCTCGCCCATCCTGGGGTACATCCGGATGAAAAGGTGCCGGGCCACGGTCAGCGGCATTTCGGCTGGGCAGAGGACTCCCCACTCATCAAGAGCGGCATCTGCCTCCGCTGACCGCAGCAGTGCCTTGGTTGTCTCCAGGCTCTCGATGATTTCGGCGGTCATCTGCATCATCTGAGGCTGCTGGCCTGAGCCGAGGGTATGCTGCATCAGGTTGGCCAGACCCAGCACGAACTCCAGCTTGACCACGTTCTTGATCACGACCTGGTGCCCCGAATGCAGGTACTGGTGGGTCCGCCGCGACATGTTGTTGCAGCGGTCCGGGTCGCCCAGAAGGAAGACCCGCTCCCACGGGACGAATACGTTGTCGAAGAAGGCCAAGGCGTCCATCTCTTCGAATCGCGAACCCAGGGGGTGATCGAAATGGGAACGGCCCAGGTCCATGCTCTCACGGCAGAGAAACCTGAGGCCGGGAGCATCGCAGGAAATGGCAAAGGCGAACGAAGTGCGGCCGGGTGCGCCCGTCGGTAGGCGGTGGGATCGGGCGGGATACACGGCTATTTCGTCAGCAATGGGCAGGGTGGCCAGCAGCCTTGCCCCGTGAACAACGATACCGGCGTCGGTCTCTTTCACCACAGAGAGGGCGATATCGGTGTTGTCGTGCAGAATGGTCTCGGTGGGCACGCGGCTACGCTGAAGGTTCACCAGGGTGTGAGTGAGTACCAGGTCTTCCTCTCGCACCTTCTCGTAGTAATTGCGGATGTTCTGCTTGAACTCCGGCCGGTCTTCGCCGAAGTAATCACCCGCCTCGGCCATTGCCATCAGGCTCACGTTGAGGAAGTCGGGCGTGCGACCCATCATTCCGCAGCTGACGCGGGCCCAGTGGCGCATCATATTGTGGCGGGCGTCCATATCCTCGCTGGTCCTGGGGGTGATGAAGGACAGACCCACCTTATCGCCGCTTGTAGGCGAGGTGTAGGTCATTTCAGAACCTACGGCAGGATCGTGTTGAAGGTCGTAGAGACGGGCCAGCGTCTTCACTCCGCCGCTGAGCCCTGGGTGCGTAGTGGGGTCTTTGACCTTTTCCCCACGCAAATACAGGGACGGCGGCCTTTCTTTTAGCCCGTCAATGTACTGTTGCCCGTTCCTGGCCGGCATTGGGACCCTCCTAGGAATTCTGCCCTTTATTTTGGCCCAAGTACTCTTAAATGAATACCCCGCGATCATCAATCCACGCTGCGCGGGACCGGACAGACCTTTCCTTCGGGCGTCGCCATGAGGCGGGAATAGCAAGCTAAATCCCCTTGACACTCCAAAATGGTTGTGATAATTTTCACTCGGTTTGCGACCCGCCGTGTTGTTCGGCGGGAATCAGGGCAAAAATCCCCGCGAAGGCGGGGACAAGTTTTGCCAGAGACCGGCAAGCATGGCTCAACGGACGGGCGGATTCAGGGTGAACGGTACTCCATGGACCCCAAAGCACTAACAACCACCGACTGGCACAACATTCACCTCTTTCTGCAGTGGTTCTGGATATATTTCCCACTGGTAGTCACGTTTGCCATGACCATGCTCACCGCGCACGCCCTTATCCCATCTGTGGTAAGCACAGGGCACCTTCCGGCCAGTGCCGCAAAGCTCCGGCTTCCGCTGACATTGTTCGCCCTCCTGATAGGAGCCGCTACAATCGTCATCCTGATTATCGGGATCAACCAGACTCTTGATGTAAGGAACTTCTGGAGCCGGCTGCTGATCTAAGCAGGCCGGTTTCAATTTCATCGGACCCACGTCTCTGCTTGGCGGTCAAGCCCGCAGGCGGGGGCGACAGGCATCTCGAAATGAACGGTTCCACCCAATAATGAGACCCTCATCCAAATTGATCCCGCTAATGGTAGCGGGTGGAATTTTCACTGTAATCATCGGCTTCGTGCTGGTTGTCTTGTTTATTTCCTGGTTTTCCAATCCGCCCTTTGGCCTGGGCAATGCGTCGGCCCAGCCCGTGGCCTTCCCCCACACCGTTCACGTGGAAGAAAACGGGATCCAGTGCGAATTCTGCCACCGCAACGTGACCAAGGGCGATGCGGCCACGGTGCCGGCAGTTGAGCAGTGCCTGTTCTGCCACAAGGACATTGCAGGGCGGGACGTACAGGCGGAGACCGAGATCGCCAAAGTGCAACAGTTCTTCGCAGACGAGGAGCCGATTGACTGGGAACGGGTCCACCGAATGCCCGACCACGTCCGGTTCGTCCACGAGGCCCACATACGGTTCTTCACCAGCGATATGGGAACCGAGGGTGTCGAGGGGCAGCGGTTCGACATCAACCGCAGTGAAGTGAACCAGTCGCTTACAATCGCAGAAACCTGCTCCATTTGCCACGGGGACGTGGGTAACATGGACGAGGTGCAGCCGAAGGCCGGGCAGTCTCTCAAGATGGGCACCTGCCTGGACTGCCACCGGCCAAACAACGTGCCAACCGACTGCACGATCTGCCACAAGTAGATAAGGAGTGATTAGAAAGTAGCGAGGAGCGAATAACCAGGAAGGGCTACACTGCCGGAAGTGCACCGGCTAGATGCTGGTGCGCTAACAGACAACAGGCTCCGACTGTTTCTCCTCCCTTACTAGCTGCCAGATGAAACTTAGTAGGCGACATTTTCTGGCTTGGGCCGGTCTGGGTGCCTTGGGCGCCGTGGCCTGTGAAGGCTTCGGCATCCGCGAGGGCGAGCTGAACATCCAGAGCCCGGTGAGCCTTCCCGAAGACTTGGTGCGTGGCAAGGACAACTGGTACGCCAGCTTGTGCCGTACATGCCCATCCTGCGAGGGAATCCTCGTCAGGGTAATGGAGGGCCGCGCCAAGAAGGTCCAGGGCAATCCACTGTATCCCGTGAACCAGGGCAAGACGCACGTCGGCTGCGAGGCCGGGGTGCAGGCGCTTTACCATCCCGACCGCATACCAGGAGCGATGCGGCGCGGCGGTAACCGGGACTCAGGCCAGTTTGACCCCATCCAGTGGGAACCTGAGGCCATGGAAACGCTGGTCCGGCAATTGACCGACCGCGGTTCCCGAACAGTAATGCTGACCAAGCCTACCAGGGGCCATCTGGGTCAGCTCACCTCCAGGTTCGCTGAAGCGGTGGGCGCCGAGCACATGACCTTCGAAGCCATCGATAACAACGTCTACCGGGACGCGGCCAAGAACGTGTTCCAGCAGAGCGTCCTTCCCGACCTCGACCTGGAAAATGCCAACATCGTCATCTCGTTCGGAACGGATTTCCTGTCAACTTGGATTTCGCCGGCCCGCTGGCAGGTGGGATACGGTGAATTCCGCCAGGGTGAGGGACGAGAATCACGAGGGACCCTTTACCAGGTTGATTCCCGATTCTCCATGACCGCGGCCAATGCAGACAAGTGGGTGCCCATAAACCCCGGCTGGGAAGGGCATCTCGCCCTGAGCATCGCCCAGGTGATCGTGGAAGAGAACCTGCAGGCTCCGGGCATCAACGTGGACGCCCTGCTGGGCCCGAACGGGCGGGATCGGCTGGACAACTACCGTCCCGAAAATGTTATCAGCGATATCGGCCTGACTTCGGAAATTGCAGGAGGCGACCCGGCGGAATTCATTCGCAAGCTGGCCCGCAATTTTGCGACTCACGGCCCGAGCATCGCCATAGCGGGCGGGTCAGCCGGAGCGCACAGCAACGGTCTGTTCAACGTCGAGGCGGCGGCTGTGCTAAATTGGCTGGTCGGCAGCGTGGGTGCCAAGGGCGGCGTGCGGCTCAACCCCAACGGCCCGTGGCAAGGCGTGCCTGCAACTTCTGCCGCATCAAGTCTGGAAGACTTCGAGCGCCTGATTGAGCAGATTCGCACCGGTGAAACAAGGATGTTGCTGCTGCACAGCGTCGACCCTGTGCACGGACTTCCCGGTTACCTCAAGCTGCGGGACGCCATTCTGAACGCTCAGGACCTGTTCGTTGTAAGTTTCTCGCCATTCATCGACGACACTACGGTGATGGCCGACCTGTTGCTGCCTGACAGGGTGTATCTGGAAGACTGGGGCGACGACATACCCGACCCCGCGCCTGGGTACCAGGTAGCCGGATTCCAGCAGCCCGTGGTGAACCCGCTGTGGGATCTGGACCCGAGGAGCTTCCCCGACGTACTGCTGGCTGCAGCCGATACCCTTGGCGTTGGCGCCGAGGAGTTGCCGTGGCGCAACTACGAGGCCATGCTGAAAGAGAGCGCCACCGCGCTGTTTGAGGAGAACCGGGGCTCGATTGAGGCAGCAACGGCCGGCGAATTCTGGACGACTCTGCTGCGCCGCGGTGGTTGGTGGGACGAATCGTCCACCGGCCCAATAGGACTCCTGCCTCGCGATGGACTGCTGGGCGAAATAATGGACAAGGCCTCGGCGCCATCTTTCCAGGGATACGGTGGGGGGAATACCCTGTACCTGGCTCCCTTTGCACATAACTCGATTAACGACGGCAGCCTGGCCCACCTTCCGTGGCTGCAGGCAGCGCCGGACCCGGTGACCTCGATCACCTGGCAGACATGGATAGAGCTCAACGATATCACTGCAGAACGCTTCGGAATCCGCGAGGGTGATATCGTACGAATCGAGTCTTCGCAGGGCTCCATCCGAGCAGTCGCGTATCCAACACCAGCGACACCTCCGGGAGTAGTTGGCGTGCCCTTTGGTGGTGGACGGCGACACGGATCGGCCTACGCGACCGACCGACCTGCCACCGAGAGTTCCAACGTGGCCGAAATTCTGGAGCCCACCCGGGTGGCCGGACCGGAAACGCTGGCGTGGGCCGGGACCCGGGTACTGATTTCCCCTACCGGCGAAAGCGTGAACGTCTCCAAGTTCGAAGGCTCTGCCCGTGCGGTGGAGGTAGGCCTGAGTCCTGCCGAAGAAATTATCAAGACCATCGCTCCCGGTCACGGCTAAACCGGGAACGACAATCAGTTGGGCCAAGTTCAAACGGCGCTGTAGTTCATAAAGGGCACATAGATGGTAACGAATCGAATCGATCACAAGTGGGGCATGGTGGTAGACCTCGACCGGTGTACCGGTTGTCAGGCCTGCGTAGTTGCCTGCCAAGCAGAGAACAACCTGCCCATAAATACCAAGGAATACTTCCAGCAGCGCCGGGCCTACGAGTGGATCAGGATTGAGCGCTATTGGGAGGGTGAATTCCCGAACGTCAAGGCGCGCTTCATTCCCATAATGTGTCAGCACTGCGAGAATGCGCCGTGTGAGCCCGTCTGCCCGGTTTACGCAACCTATCACAACGATGAGGGACTCAACGTCCAGGTCTACAACCGGTGCGTCGGCACCCGCTACTGTGCAAACAACTGCCCCTACCAGGTCCGGTTCTTCAACTGGTGGGAGCCGAAGTGGCCGGAGCGTCTTCGCAACCAGCTCAACCCTGACGTAACCATACGAAGCCGTGGCATCATGGAACGCTGCTCCTTCTGCGTGCAGCGGATCAGGCGCGGGGAGATCACGGTGGAACGCCGCGGAGTGGAACCTCTCACCGGGGAGCGTATCCCGGCTGGCGAGGACCGGTACCTCAACTACCAGCGGATGAAGGACGGCAATTTCCTGCCGGCCTGTGCCCAGGCCTGCCCTACCAACGCCCTGATGTTCGGAGAGCAGAGGGATCCCACGGGACCGGTCTTCAAGTACTTCGAAAAGGCCAACGAACAGTACGACAAAGTGCATCACGGCGAATACGTTGACGAATCCGAGACCCGGGTTTACCGGCTCTTGGAGGAAATGGGAACCAAGCCCAACGTCATCTACCTCAAGAAGGTGGACCAGTACCCCATCGGCGGTGAAGCCCACTAGGGATCCGGGGTAAACCGGCCTATTTCATTCAGCAATGGGCGAATAAACTCAATGGCAGCCAGCGAAAGCGAACATATCCACCACGGCACAGCCCACGACGAGGGACACGGGGGCATTTCGGGCGGTCACTATCCCGGATGTGGATATTCCCCAATCCCAGGGTGATGACCCGCGATATGGGCGGCGAAGATCTCCGCCATGCCCGGCCCCTGACCCTTGCTATGGTCTTGACCTTTGCCTTGCTGGTATTGGGAGTGGTTGGGTTCGTAGCCGCGCTGCCGCCGATGGATTCGACGACCGAGCGCCGTGGGGCTATTACATGGCGACCTTCTCGTACGTTTTCATGGTCACCAGCGCCGCCCCGGTGGCAGCGGTGGCATTCAGGTTCACCAAGAGCCACTGGCGCCGACCCTTGTCCCGCGTCTCCGAGCTCTTTGCGGTCGTTGGCATTTTCAACATCATCGCCTTCATTCCGATGATGATGATACTCCCGCCAATCGCCAACCCGAACCCGTCCCATGGCGGAGCACACGAGTTGGAAATCCGCCGAACGATCTGGTTCGAGGGACCCATCGGTGCGCCACACGCCTGGGATATGGCGGGGATTGCAGGACTGGCCGTTACCGCGATGTTCATACTGTGGCTGTCAGCGGTGCCTGACATGGCCGAGGCCCGGAACACCGCGGCCGGCTTCCGCGGCTGGCTCTATCGCAGGCTGGCGGGGCACTGGTACGGCACCAAGCGGCAGTGGAACGCGCAAAAGGCTGGCTTGGCCATGCTCGGCGCCTTCTACTTCATGCTCCTGATATTCGTGCACTTCATCATCAGTTCTGACTATGCGCAGAGCATGATTCCTGGCTGGAAAGACTCGATCTTTCCGGTTATCTACAGCCTCACTGGATTCCAGGTTGCCCTCGGCACCTGCCTCGTCGTCCTGTACATCATGCGGCGATGGGGAGGCTACCACGAGTACTATGGCAAGGCGGTGTTCTGGTCCGCCAGTAAGGTCCTGCTGGGACTGACGCTGCTTTGGGCATACCACCTGTTCGCCTTTTTCATCACCTTCTGGTTCGGACGGCTGGTGGTGGAACAAAACATAATCAAGTACCTGTTTGGCGAGTCCTACGGCGGAGTTTTCGTAGCCAACCTAGCGCTCAGCTTTGTCATCCCGTTCCTCCTCTTGTTGTGGAACCCGGTGCGTCGCAGTGCCTGGGGTCCGCCACTGGCCGGACTTTCGGCTGCGCTGGGAGCCTTGATGTTCAGCGTCCGCGTGTTTGTGGGCGGGGCTAACTCGGGCAATATCTTCGCCCCCTTCCTCGATCACGTCCCTCCCGCGGCGTACCCCGATATCTGGGATATTTTCATAGTCGTTGGCGGCATCGGCGGGGCCATCTTCATATACCTGCTGGCCACCCGCATACTGCCGGTCCTTTCCGTCTGGGAAGTCAAGGAAGGCGCCCTATATCAGAAAATGTCGCGCTTCATCAGGGGCGAGTACCTGGTGCTGGCGAAACCCGAATAAAAGGAGAGAGCGGAGAGAAGTGAGGAACATGGCCTCGACTCGCTCGGTCCAAACGGGCCAGTTGAGCGGAGCCCAAGATTCACTCCTAGCTCCAGATTGCTAGAACATGCAGGAAGGCAGGACGCCCATATCCTACCGGCAGATCAACCGCGAGTTGCTGACATCAATTCTGCACTCGCCGAAGTGGTTTGCAATTGCAGTGACCATCCTCGGCCTGATTGTGCTGGGAGGGTTCAGTGCGGCAGGTCTGTTGGTCAACAAGGGATTCGGGGTTACAGGGCTGAACCGCCCGGTGATGTGGGGGTTCTTCATCACCAACTTCGTGTTCTGGATCGGCATCAGCCACGCTGGCGTGATGCTCTCCGCCATCCTGCGCTTGTCCAAGGCCGAGTGGCGCCGCCCGGCCACCAGGGCTGCCGAGATCCTGACCGTCTTCTCACTGATGACGGCCATGATGATGCCTCTGATTCACACGGGCCGTCCTTGGCGTACCATCTACTGGATCTACACCATCCCGTTTATGCCCTACGACTACGCGCGGGGTATCTGGCCCAACGTGCGGTCTCCCCTGGTTTGGGACCCCAGTGCGGTCTACACATACCTCACCTCCAGCATCCTGTTCGTGCTGGTGGCATTGATTCCTGACTTCGCTGTCCTTCGCGACCGCACCACGGGAATGACCCATCGCATCTACACGATTCTCGCCATGGGATGGCGTGGCAATCCCAGGCAGTGGAAGCTCCAGATTATTGCGGGCGTGTTGCTGTCGGCACTGATACTGCCAGTGTTCGTCTCGGTGCACTCGATAGTGTCCTGGGACTTCGGTATGGCTGTGTCGGTAAAGACTTGGCACTCCACCATATTCGCGCCCTATTTCGTGGTTGGAGCGGTGCACTCCGGCGTCTCCGCCGTGAGCCTTCGTGATGATAATTCTGCGCTACATCTATGGCTGGCAGAATTACATCCGCCACGAGCACATCGACGCCCTGGGTCGCCTGCTCATTGTCGTAGCCACCGGCTGGTTCTACTTCTTTGTAATGGAGATAATCTTCGGCTTCTACGGCAGGGAGGCGGATGAACTGGCGGTGCGCGATCTACAGTTCATGCAGAACCCGTGGAACATCTGGATGATGATCTTCGTGTTTACGACCTATTTCCTGCCTGTAGCGCTGTGGCTGCCAAGGGCGTTCCGACGCAACCTGTGGATTATGTCGACCGCCTGTATTTCGGTGAACATCGGAATGTGGCTGGAGAGGTTCATAATCATCGTGCCCGGCCTGCAGAACAAGCAGGTGTTCACCTTCAGCTGGTACACGGTCTACGCTCCCAGTGCGGTGGAGTGGACCATCATCGGCGCCACATTCGCGTTGGTTTCCATGCTGATGTTGCTCATCGCCCGGGTAGTGCCCCTGATCCCGCTATATGACATCAAGGAAGCGGAGATCTTACGCACTGAGATAAAAGTAGGCCGGGTGACCATTCCGGCCGTCTACAGGGAGGACTAACTCCCCGCTATCCCGATAATATCGGGATTCTAGAAGAGGGAACTGAACAATGGCTAAACGACCGATACTGGGGCTGTTTGAGGACGCGAACTACGCGGCCGAGGCTGGGGACGCCTTGCAGGGCGCTGGCGTGGCCCCCACCGACTACGACTTTTTGACCGACACGCCCTACCCTGAGGGAGCTTTCGGCGAGCGACACGAGGGGCACCGCCTGTACATATTCCCCTTGTGTGGAGCGCTGGTCGGGTTGACTATAGGAATACTGTTGACCTCGATGACCCAGATGGCCTACCCCCTGGTGCAGGCGGGTAAGCCAATTCTGTCCCTCCCACCGATGGCCGTGGTAACGTACGAAAGCACCATGCTGACGGCAATCATATTCACGATCATCGGCATAGTATTTGAATCGAGGCTGCCCAGTTTCAAGCAAGGCCTCTACGACACACGAATCACCGAAGGGTATATCGGCGTGCTGGCCAATGTCGAAGAGGAACAGCTGACCCAGGTTTCCACGCTGTTCACGCAGGCGGGCGCCATCGACGTGGTACGCGAGAATTAGAGGTCGGCGTCCTGATGTTCAGCCGGTTCATAAACAATCCAGGCCGACCCGCCGTGTCGGAAGACCACTTACGCTCTATTGCCCGGAAGGGCGGAGCGCACAGGTCGCTGATTAGCCTGCTGCTTTTCGGAGCTGCGCTGGTTGCCGCCCTTGCGTTGGCGGGCTGCACCTCTGGTGCCTACCCCGTGGATATCTTCTACGAGCAGCACTACCAGCAGTCATTCAAGTCACACGAACCGCCGCGTCTTTCCGGCGTGGACGGTGCAATCGCCTTCTATCCCGCTCCGCCCAACACGACCGATGATTCGGGAGCGCATCTCTTCGACGTGAACTGCCAGATGTGCCACGGTACCGACGGCAAGGATAGCGGCCTGGTGCTGCAGCGCATGACCAAGAGCCCGGCTGATGGTGGATACGGTTACCAGTACAACATTTTTGACCCCGAAACGAATGAACCCAGGCCGCCAGACCTTACAGTGCTGGAACCTAATGTGATCGAAGGTTATCTCAAGAGTTCCGTGCGGCCATTTGGCCCTAATTCCGTGATGCCGCCCTTCGGGAAGTTGCTCAACGAGGACGAACGCCAAGCCATCATTCAGTATGTTGGCACGCTCCCGTAGCGGCAGCTGACCGCCTTCGAACAAATAGCGCACAATAGGCGCGGGGAATTCTTGAACGTAAGCAAGAATATCTCTCTGTGGTCAATGTGCGCTTTTTCTATGGCTCTCATCCTGGCCCTCATTTTGGCCGCTCCGGTCCATGGACAGAGCGCGGACGAGGCCTTGGAGAAAGAGGCGCAATCGATAGATCGCATGATCATGTGCCCGGTATGCCCTGCCGAAACCATCGACCAGGCCCAGGTGGAAATCTCTTTCCAGATGAGGGCCGTAGTACGGGAGATGCTTGCCGAGGGCAAGACGCGCGAGGATATCTTGGGTTATTTCGTTGATCGCTACGGTCCTGACATTCTGGCAGCGCCCCCAAAGTCCGGGGCCAACCTGCTGGCCTGGATTCTGCCCATCGTCGGCGTCGCTGCCGGGCTGGCTGGCGTGTTCCTGGTAATCCGGTCGATGACGGGGCGCCAGCGGGCCGCGCCGGCGACGGCAACCGCCTCCGCGACTCAGGCACAGTCGCCGTCACAATCGACGGACGATCCGGAACTGGCTCCCTACCTGGAAATTGCTGATCGTCTGCTCGCCTCACGCAGGGGGTCTTCGGCTGGCCGATCACAACCTTCAGAGACAGGCCGAGAGCAGGAAACTGACGAGCGGCCTCGAGGTACAACGGGCGGGCCAGAACGCCAACCGGAAAGCGGTACCGCGAATGGGTGACCTGGGTGCAATCAGCCTCTGGCTGGCCCTGGCCCTGGCGGCCTACTCATCCGTCGGCTCCGTGGCTGGGAAGATGCGTGGGTCGGCGGCACTTGCGGAAAGTGCCCAGGCCGCGATGTACGCCACAATGGTCGTTCTGTTCGTTTCCACCCTCAGCCTGGTCGTGGCCTTCATTGGCAGGGACTTTGAGATCGCCTATGTCGCGAGACACAGCGACCTGGCGATGCCCGACAAGTTCACGTGGGTGGCCTTTTACGCCGGGAACGAGGGGTCGCTGCTGTACATCGCAATGGTGCTGTCCGCGATGGCTGCGATAGCCGTATGGCGAGCGCCTGAGAAGGTGCGGGACGCACTGCCCTATACCACCGGCGTGATGATGCTCGTCCTGACGTTTTTCCTTGCCGTGACCGCCGTTATGGCCAATCCGTTCGAGAAACTGCCATTCGTGCCAGCCGACGGCGAAGGCATCAACCCACTGCTGACCCACTTCGGTATGTTCTTTCACCCTCCGGCCCTGATGGCGGGTCTGGTGGGAATCACCATACCTTTTTCCTTCGCCCTTGGATCGTTGCTGGCCCGCAAGACGGGAGATGAATGGGTCGACCCCGGGCGGGTGTGGGGCATCTTTACCTGGGCACTGCTGGCATCCGGCTTGTTACTCGGCTCGTGGTGGGCATACACCATCCTGGGCTGGGGCGGCTACTGGTTCTGGGACCCCGTGGAAAATGCCGCATTCATGCCATGGCTGGCCCTGACCGCGTTTATCCACTCCATCATGGTGCAGAAGCGGCGTGGAATGTTCCGGATGTGGAATATCGCCCTGATAAACATCGCCTTCGGACTGGCACTGTATGGAATGTTCATGAACCGGGGTGGGTCGGTCCCATCAGTGCACTCCTTCGGTGCGTCCAGTCTGGGTTGGGTATTCCTGTTATTCCTGGCGGTCGGCGTAATCGTGCCCTTCGTGGTTTTCTTCTGGCGCTACCCGCTCCTAAAAAGCGCGCAGAACCTTGACTCCATGCTGTCGCGGGAGGCAGCTTTCCTGGTCAACAACCTTCTGCTGTTGGCGATAGCCTTTGTGACCCTTTGGGGCACTGTTTATCCGCTCATATCCCGCCTGACCAGCGGCGAGGAGATAACTGTAGCCAGACCCTTCTACGACCAGGTAAACGGGCCGTTGATGCTGGGTCTGTTGTTCCTGATGGGCATTGGGCCGATGCTGCCATGGCGCCGGGCCAACTGGGCCAGCATTCGCCGTGCCCTGGCGGTACCGGCGGGCGTGGCCGTGATTGCTGTCGTTGTCCTGCTGGCAGTAGGACTGCGCAAGGAATACGCCCTGGTCGCCTATGGGCTGGCCGCATTCGTGGCCACGGGAATACTTATGGAATGGTTCCGGGGAGCCAGGGCCAGGGCTCGTGCCCTTTCGTCCGGCGACCGCAGCGTGGCCAGGCACATCCAGGAGCACGCGTCGGCTTTCGTTCAGCTCATATGGGCCAACCGCCCGCGCTATGGCGGCTACATCGTGCACCTGTCCGTGCTTATGGTGGCACTGGGGATTGTGGGGACATCGTTCTTCAGCTCTCAGAAAGACGTGGTCCTATCCCCAGGAGAGACGGCTACAATAGAGAACTACGAAATCAGGTACATGGGCACAACGCTGATCCCCTTTGGCAATCGCACCGAGTACATTTCGTCGGTGGAAGTGTACAGGGACGGGGAGATGCTCGATACCTTCAGCCCCAACCGGGCCTTTTACCCAAGCTTCAACATGGCCTCCACTCGTGCTGCCATTCGTTCTACACCGGTCGAGGACTTCTACGTGGTGCCCAGCGAGAACCTGCCGGACGGTGACGTGGGCTTCCGTCTCCTCGTGAATCCGCTGATCTGGTGGATGTGGGTGGCCGGTCCAGTGATGGTACTGGGAACAATTATCGCCCTGTGGCCGGAACCCTCCCGTTTACCGGCCCGGGTTCCTTCAGGCGTAACGGCCGCTGCATCCCTGGGCCGATGATCCTGAAACCGCTACTGAGTCCTCTTCCGCAGCCAGGCTGTTAGACTGCGAGTATGGACGCGCAAACGATATTCGCCATTCTTGTCGGGTCAGCACTCGCCTGCTTCAGCCTTGTGATGGTGGGCTACTCCTTTCTTCGAAACAGGGAACCGCAGCGGGAATTGGCATCAACTGCAAAGCTGCCAGATCAGAATGGCGTTGGAATTGACTCGCTGTTCGATTCGATCGACACACTGGACCTGGAGTACCAGCTGGAGAACGTGCCTGAAGAAGACTACCTCCAGCAACTGCATTCCTACCGGCAGCAAATCGCGGTTTTGATAAAGGAGCAGCTTGAGAACGGGGACGCTCCTCCCGAACTCCTCCTGGAACGGGAAGTGCTCCGGGCTCGGGCAGGAGGGATGAAAGTCTGGCGTTCGTGCCCCCAGTGCGACGCGCCGCTCACATTGAACGCCGCCAGCAAGCCAGACGGCGCTACTTGCCCACATTGCAGTGCATCGCTGTCATCGGTGACGCTCGGCGAAGAGCAATCGGAAAGTCCTTCCACATCATCCCGGCAGATGACGGAACTTTAATGCCCCCACCCAGGCTGAAAGGCGGACCCGCCGGGGCGCCTTCCATTCGCTTGCTACTGCTGGCGGCCCTGATCCTGTGCGGGGTTTCGGCAACGATCCTTGCTTTCCCACAGTCCGCTCCGGCCCAGGAGACCCTGACTATTCGTGGCCGGGTGGCCAATGGAACTGCCGGTGCTGAAATTCAGGGGGACCTTGCGGTGCTGATGCTGGTATCCGGACCGGACGGCACCCTGAGTGGCACCGGGTCAACGGTGGCTGAACCAGACGGCAGCTTTTTATTTGACGAAGTTTCGGCTGTTGCAGGAGGCAGCTATACCATAAGCGTGGACTATCAAAGCGTCTTCTATGGGCAGTCGCTTATTGACGAACAGCTAGCGGACGAGGTGGTGATCACGGTTTACGAGCCGACGGAGGACGCCGGGATCATTCGGGTAGAGCGCCAGGTAATGGTCATATCCGGGTTTGATGTTGCTCGAAGAATCGCTACTGCCACCGAGTTCGTGCGTTTCACCAACCCCACTGATATGACCCTGCGCCCTAACCTGGAAACTGCTCGCCCAGGGATGTTCAGCTTTATGCGGTTCGCGCTCCCGCCAGAGGCCGCTGACGTCACGGTGCAGTCGAATCTGCGGGGTGGCGAGATCATTTCGGTGGGCTCGGGATTTGCCTTGACGGCTGCAGTACCACCCGGGCAGCACAGCGTGGACTTCGCATACAACTTTCCATACGCGGGAGACATCCTGGAATACCGCAACAGCCTGCCCCAAGGGGCCGACATATTCCAGGTGCTAGTACCGGAGCGTTGGGACCGACTGGCGATCAACGGGTTAACTCCCCGTCCGCCGGTTGGGATCGGAAACGAGGTCTATCGTGCCTGGGAAGGGCGCGACATCCCTCCTGGGCCAGGGATCCAGATGTCATTCGGCGGCCTGCCCGAGCCTGGCCTTCTGGCGAGGGTAGGCACCGCATTGTCCGACGGCTCTTTCTGGATCACCGCCATTCCCTCCGCAATGGGGGCCGTACTCCTGGCGCTCCTGTTGCTCGGCCTGTTCCGACGCCAAGGCCTTGCTACGGCGCCGGATAGTGGGGACCCAAGTGTGATTGGCACGTTCGGGGCGCCCGCCTCGTACGAGCGAGCAGAGCTTGTCGCCCGCTTGGCGGCCTTGGACGATCGTTTCCAGCACGGTGAAATGGACCAGGAAGACTACCAGCGCCAGCGCACGCCGCTGGTAACTCGCGCGCTGGGCAATGATCCCACGGCTGAAGAATAATGGCATCGCCCCCGGAATATCAGAGCGTCAGCGCGGCAGGTGAGGTGCCGGACCAACAACGGCGCCGTAGCCTGCCCTTTGGACGACGCACGCTCATCATTGCGGCCGTGGCTGTTCCGGTCTTTGCGTTGCTGGCGATCCTGGCTTGGGCTTCTGCGACTTCCGGTCCCGCCAGGGGCGGTCTGGCCGTAAACGAACGCACCATCGAGATGGACACCGACGGAGAAATCGCCCCACCATTCGTTATGTCGCTGGTGGGAGGTGGCGAAATCGGCAGCACGGACCTGCGCGGGAAAGTCGTGATGCTTGATTTCTGGGCCTCATGGTGCCCGCCCTGCCGTGAGGAGGCTCCGGCGTTGGCGCAGGTGTACGGAGAATATCGTGACCTCGGCGTGGGGTTCGTCGGTGTCAACTTGTGGGACAATGCAGGAGACGCTGAATTGTTCCTACAGGAACAGGGCCACAAATACCCCAACGGCATAGACGATGGGGGTGAAATCGCCATCAGCTACGGCGTGAGAGGGATTCCCGAAAAGTTCTTCATCGATTCCGAAGGCCGGATTGTACGCAAGTTCTCCGGGCCGGTCGACGCCGAGAGGCTGCGTCAAATCCTGGATTCCATGCTGGGTGGCTAGCCGGGACAGACGACCCAGCGACATCACGACTCCAGCTGGAATCCAGCCCTTACTTCACCGAGGGGCACTGATATGACAGACCAGCCGAATACCCCAGCCGTGCTGGCCGTGGACTGGGGCGGAACGTGGTGCAGGGCAGGCTTGATAGACCGGCAAGGCGAGGTCTTGTGGCAGGCTCGCCGCCCAAACCCCAGGGGCGGAGGCACTGCCCAGTACCTCGCGTTGGCAGATACGCTGCTGGCAGAGGCATTCGGGCTCGAGGGAATCCACGCCGACAGCATAGGAATTGCGGTGGCGGGACCAGTGGACCCGGAGAGCGGCACGCTTTACCAGCCGCCGAACCTGATGCCCCTGGACGGCATCTCACTGAAACAGATCTGGCACGAGAGGTACGGCCTGCCCGTGGCCCTGGGCAACGACGCAAACATGGCTGCCATTGGCGAATTTCATTTCGGAGCCGGAAGAGACGCGGCCCAGGCAGGCAGGCCTCACCGAAGCCTATTCTACGTCACTGTAAGCACTGGCATCGGCGGCGGGGTGGTGGAGCGCGGCTCGCTCCTCCTGGGGGCCAACGGGCTTACGGCCGAAGTGGGCCACACCACCATTGACACAACGACCAGCGCGCCGCCCTGCCAGTGCGGAAAACGGGGCTGCCTGGAGGCGGTGTCATCGGGCACGGCCATCGCGGCCTACGCAAGGGCCAGGCTGTCAGAAGGCCGAAACCGGGACTCGGCGCTCGCCGCGCTGTCGCCGGAAGATCTCTCGGCGAGAGCGGTCGTGGCCGCAGCGGTGCAGGGCGACACTTTCGCCCATGCGGTCATCGCCCGCGCGGTGGAGGGGTTGGCGATCGGTTTGGCCAACGTCGTCCACCTGTTCAACCCGGACCTGATCATCCTGGGCGGAGGGGTTTCGGAGGGACTGACCCAGCTCAACCTGCTCCCCCGAATAAGGCAGGGTATCCACGAGCGACTTATGAGCGAATTGCACAAGGTGTTCGACCTCGTGCCCTCTGTCCTGGGAGACAACTCCGGCCTGCTGGGCGCAGCTGCCGCCGCCTGGGAGCTGACGGACAACCTCTAGACGATATAGCGGCCTCCCATAACATTCACACTGTCGCCGGTGATATACGCCGACTCGTCGCTGGCAAAGAACAGGCACGCATTGGCGACATCCTGCACTGTGGCCTGCCGTCCCATAGGCAGGTCTCGAAGGTGCTCTGCGGAACCACGAGCCGTACCACTCTGAAACTCGGGATACCACTCAGGGTGTTCGCGGCTGGTATCGGTAGCACCTGGGTTTACCATGTTGGCCCGCACGTTGTATTGCGCAGCCTCGGCGGCAATGGCACGAATAAGCCCGAGCAGTCCGGTCTTGGCCGCCGTCACAGCCGTCGTGTTCGGCCGTCCGGTGATGGACGACTGCCCGCCCAGCGCAATAATGCTGCCGGTGCGTCGCTCCTGCATTCCCGGCAGCACAGCCTTGCTGAGGTAGAACGCCGAGTTCAGGTTGGTGTTCATCACCTGCAGCCACTCGTCGTCCGAAACGTCGGTTATCGGCTTATGAGGCCGGATGGCGACGTTGGACACAAGCACGTCGATCTTGCCGAGCTCGGAGATGCCCTCGGACACCATTTGGCGCACCGAGCCCGGATCGCCGACGTCTGCTACGGCGGTGACGGTCCGGACGCCAAGCTCCAAACACTGGGCCGCCACCTCATCGAGTTCCTTCGCGCTTTGCCGGGTGTTCAGCACCAGGTCTGCGCCCTCACGGGCAAAGGTCAGGGCGATCTCCCTGCCGATATTGCGGCTGGCACCGGTAATTAGCGCCGCCTTTCCTTCCAATCGCATATTCGCTTCCCTTGAATTAAAATTGTTTCGACAATGTAGTCCTGTTATCCGCTGTTCCGGTCAGCATAACACAGACAAAATGCCCGCAAATTGAGGAGGCAAGCCTATGCAGTGGTGCAGATTTACCGCCAATGGATCGACCTCTTACGGCATCATCGAAGGGGAATCGGTGCACGAGGTATCCGGAACTCCCTTTGGCGAACACTCAAAAACTGGCAAGTCCCACGGTCTCGACTCCATCCAGCTTGAAGTGCCTGTCATCCCGCCCACGTTCTATGCCGCCGGCATCAACTATCCCGAACACGTTACCTGGGCGGCTCAAATGCGTGGTCAGGAGCCGGACCTGCCCAAGAGGGCCGATGTCGGCTACCGGGCCATTAACGCCCTGGTGCCTCATGGCCACGACATCATCGTGCCAGCCGACGCCACCGAGCAGCTACAGTACGAGGGGGAGCTGGTGGTCGTAATCGGCAAGACCTGCCGCAACGTCACCGAGACCGAATCATTGGACTACGTCCTGGGGTACACGATAGGCAACGACGTCAGCGAGCGCACCTGGCAGCGCAACGACCGGACCATGTGGCGGGCCAAAAACACGGATACCTTCAAGCCCATGGGGCCGTGGATCGTTACTGACTTGAACCCCGACGACCTTCACGTGGTCATCCGCGTCAACGACCGCGTTGTGGGCGAGTACGATGTGGCGACTGCGCTATTCGGCGTCCGGCACTACATCAGTGAGATGAGCAAGTACCTGACGCTTGTCCCGGGCGATGTCTTGTGGATGGGCACCGAGGGTGCCACTGAGAACATGAAGGACGGCGACCTCTGCGACATCGAGATCAGCGAGATCGGTACGCTGAGCAACCGCGTCAACTGGCAAAAGTGAGTTAGGGGCTAACGACTGAAAGCCATCGGGCCAAAGGATTGTCCGTCAACGTTCACAGCAGTCCTTTGGCCTTTTCTTGTCCCGCGGCTAGTTCCTAACCCTCAGGGTTAAACCCCGTCTCGGCGGCCCAGGCCTGGAGTCCACGGCGAAATGCCAAGCCTCCCATTGGCATGGCAACGCACTGGAGCGCCTCCAGGATTTCGGTGGGGGTCGCGCCCTCGCGGAGGGCGACGCGGACGTGGGCCTGGATCTGGTCGACGTCGGCACGCAGAGCGGCCTCCACAGCCACTTGGAGCAACTCCTTTGTCTTGCGGTCGAGGGTGCGCTCGCCGGTGTAGGTGGCCTCGATGAACCCATTGTATTTTTCGACCCATGCCGGATCTGCGGCGGCCATTATTCCGTGCATTTCCAAGGTGTAGCCCCGACTTTCGGCGATACCGGCCAGTACTTCCTGCTGTTCGTTTGACGCCATTTTTTCTCCCGTCATGCCATTGGCTATTTGCCAGTTTTCTCCACTTCGCAGTCCCAATGCAAAAGGGCAAAGGTGAGGACGTTAATTAGAGTTCGTAGTGGCGTCGGGCCGCAGCCTGCCTCGGATTGTTCTGCTGGAACAGGTCCGGGTGGGCGCCACGGGCCAGCGCCAGGTAGTAAGTGAAAAGCTGCAGGGGCAGCACATACAACAGCGGGCTCCAGAACTCGGCCACAACCGGCAGGGTGAAACGCTCGGTGCAAAGGGCGGAGAGGAGGGTGTCTCCCTCCTGTACCAACCCCCAGACCGGTGCGCCCACGTCAGCAGACGCCCGGGCGACGTTCATAGCCCTCTCGTAGCCAGGACCGGGCGGAGCCACCAGCGTTACCAGGCACTTCTGGTCGACAGAGCAGAACGGGCCATGCAGTAATTGCTCGATCTGAAGACCCTCACTGTCGCACGCGCTGGTCTCCTTGATCTTGAGGGCCACCTCGTAGGCCGAAGCGGTGTTGGGGCCCCATCCTGCGCAAATAAAACGTTCCCGGCTCTGGAACCGTCTTGTCGCCCGCTGCAATTCAGACAGCCGAGCCGTCACCTGCTCCATGGCCGCAGGAATCTCGTCAAGGCGGGCCCGCATCTGGGCAACGTCGCCGCTCTTGTCCGTCCAGCCACCCATGGCCGATGCCAGCATCCCCAGAACCATCAGGCCCGCCGTGTAGCTGATGGTGAAAGCCGCCGAGCGTTCCTGTCCCACTGTCTGGAGCTGCACGTCGGCAACGGTGATCCTGGGGCCCGGGTCGGTGGACGTGATGGCAACGGTGTATGCCCCGCTGCTCTTTGCCATCTCCAGGGCCAGGTAAGAATAGGTTTTGGTACCCCGATGGCTGATTACCACAACCCCGTCATCTTCGGTCAAAGGAGGCGGGTAAGCGCAGAACTCAAAGGAGTGGAGAACTTCGATCACCGGACCATCTTCGGAGAACTTGCGAAACCAGTGTCCCGCGACCAGGGCGGCGTGCCATGAAGTGCCAATGCCTACGATGAAGACACGACGCCTCCTGGCCAGTTCTGCCGCCACGGGCTGCACGGTATTGGAGTGCTTTTTCAGCATCTCCTCCATCGCTGCTGGCTGACGCATTATGGCGTCGTACATCAAGTACGGGTGCCCCTGCCGTGTTTCCTGCTGTTGCGTCATTTCTCCATCCCCGACATGTACCCTCTATCGCTCGAAGAGGGCCAGGGTGAGCGCGAATTTCCAACCACTGTTAAAGTCGGAATTTTAACGTAAATTTCGCCCTTGCCTAGCCCCACTGGCCTATATCTGCATTGTCACTCTGATTATCCTGTCTTTAATGAGCCGGTCTGCTTCAATCGGGCAGCGGGAATCGCCGGACCGCGTGTTAAAATCCGGCGCAAGCCGGGAGGAGGATATGGCGATGACTGAGTTTACACCCCAGAACTTTGAACGGATGGACGAGGGAGATGACCGCCAATTCTATCTGCAGGCCCGCAAGGTGGTGCATATCGATGCCGGCGCCATTGCGGCAGTCAGCCGCCTCATCGAGGAAATGGTCTCTCCGGATTCAATCGTTCTCGATCTTATGAGCAGTTGGCGCTCCCACTGGCCCAAGGGGCATGCCAAGACGCGGTTGGTTGGGTTGGGTTTGAACCGCGAGGAGATGGTGGACAACCCCGACCTGGACGAGGTTGTGGTCCACGATGTCAACCGGAACACGGAATTACCTTTCGAAGATGGGACCTTTGACGCAGTCCTGATAACAGTTTCGGCCCAATATCTGGTTCACCCTGTGGAAACGTTTCAGGAAGTCAACCGCATCCTGAAACCCTCCGGCGTGTTCATCGTCAGCTTCTCCAACCGGATGTTCGCCACCAAGGCAGTCTATATCTGGCGCGCGTCCAGCGATCGGGGACGGGTGGACCTGGTGGGTACCTACATGGAATCGGCAGGAAATTTCGAGGACATCCAGGGGCTGTTCCTCAATCCTCAAGACAGCCCACCCGGAGATCCGTTGTTTGCCGTGGTCAGCAGGAAGGCGGTGGCAGGTTCAGATGCCCCCGTTTTTCGACAGTCCGAGTGAGACAGGCGAGGCGGGGCCCGTCGCTATATACCAGGCGCGCTAAGGTAAGGATGCCCTGTCCTCTTTTCTTGGGGCGGCACTGCAGCCAACACAAGCAGCGCCGCCAAGCCTACCGCCGTGCCGAATATGACGAAGGGTGCTCGATAGCCGCCGCTGGCATCGAACATGAACCCGGAGACCACCGGCCCTATTGCTTGACCGCCAATCTGCGCCGGTAGTGTCAATCCCCGGATCGCACCCAGGTGGATGCGTCCATAGTAGTCAGCCCATGCCAGGCGCAGCAGTGTGTGCAGACCGCCGACTCCGGAACCGAACAGGAATGCGAAGCATATCCCCCATCCCAGTTGATCGCTGAAGGCGATACCGAACACGCCACCCGTCAGCCAGGTCGCCGAAATCGCCAGCATGAGTCGCACCGGCATACGCCGTCCGACCACCGACCAGATCATTCCGCCCGGTATCTGGCCCAGGGCAAAAGACGTGGCGACCAATGCGGCTTGGCCGTGAGACACCCCGGCGTCGACATAGTGGGCCGTCTGATGAAGGCTGACGCCGGCTTGCGCCATAAAGCCCACCATCGAAAAGAACGCCAGTATCCAGAAAGCTGGGGTACGCACCGCCTCCCGCACAGTGTAGTCCGTATCCCGCCAGGGGACAGGTCGGGCAGCACGTAGGCCCGCATTTACGTCCGAGCGCTCTTGCCTCTCTTCCGCACTCAGGTCGGGCTCCAGCCCCATGTCCTCAGGGCGGCGGGCCATCAGTAGCAACGGCGGCAGGACGCCGGTAGCAACGGTGAATACTCCCAGCGAAACCCAGGCCGCCCGCCAACCATATCCTTCGATGAACATGGCAGCCGCCAGGGGCAGCAGCCCCAGCCCCCACACCTTGGGCTGCTCCGAACCACGCCAGTGCCATTGGGCGCCGCCGGATGAACCAGTTGCTGATTGCGGTAGTGGTTCCCAGTTCCAGCGGGCTGGAGAATACTGCGCGTCCTGGCACGTAGATGGCGTAGAACGACCAGGCCTGGGACACCAACGCCAGCAGCAGGGCGCAGGCTCCCACAATCGCTGAGCACCCGCCCAATATCACGCCAGAGCCATAGCGGTCGATCAGCCGTCCCGCGAACGGCGACATCACCAGCCCAAAGACGGCGCCAAGGCTCACCGCCCCGGAAAAGAGGCCGCGCGACCATCCGAACTCGTCGGTCATGGGGATCACGAAGACCGACAGCACCGCGACGGACGCCACGGGCCGGGCGCCGAAGCTTGGCAGGTTGGCGACGGCAAACACAACCCATCCGTAGTAGACGGGCAGCCGTCTCGCCAGTCGAGCCTTGATGGTGGTGGCGCTGGACATTCTTTGAGGCAGATCTTTCCTGTTTCAGATTCGCGCTAGTTTATCATCACGCCTATCTGTATCTGATCTCTTGAATCAATGTCCGGCCCCAATAGCTTTCGTTTCTGGCTCTTTTGGTCTGTGGGCGGCGTAACTGGCGAACCAATGACAACTGGTCTTCCGGCGAGTTCAGTCACGACTTTGCGGCAGGCATTCTTAAGGCCGGTTGCCTATGGGCCAACTAAGTGCCCTCCACAACAGCCCGCAGGGTTCCGGTCCCACGATTTAAAAAGCAGGTAAAGCAGGTATGGAAAGTCAAGTGTTATACTTTTGCGAAACTTTCATCAGGCTTGGAAATGGCCCGCACGTTTCGCTTGGCGCTGGCCCAGATCAACCTAACCGTAGGAGACATCCCCGGCAACACCTCACGGATGCTGGAGTGCCTGCAGCAAGCCCGCGAGTCCCGTGCTGACCTCGTGGCTTTCCCCGAGCTCGCCACCACGGGCTATCCACCAGAAGACCTCCTCTTCAAGAAGTCCTTTGTCGACGCCAACGTCGCCGCCATGCACGAAGTGGTTGCCGCCTCCCATGGAATGGCTGTGGTTCTCGGATACGTCCACCCCCGAGGGACTGGCGTCGCCAACTCAGCAGCTATCGGCTACGACGGAAAGCTGATTGACACCTACGACAAGATTTTCCTGCCCAACTACGGTGTGTTCGACGAAGAGCGTTACTTCGTCAAGGGGAGCGCTTGTCCCGTCTACGAGATCAACGGAGTGCAGGTGGGTGTCAACGTTTGCGAGGATATCTGGTACGAAATGGGGCCGTCTTCGGTCCAGCGCAGGGCGGGAGCGGAGCTGATCGTCAACATCAACGCCTCGCCGTTTCATGCCGGCAAGAGCGCCTACCGCGCAGGTAGCATCGTGGGTAGCCGGGCAGTGGAAAACGGGCTCTACGTGGCATACCTGAACACCGTCGGAGGGCAGGACGAGCTGGTTTTCGACGGCAACAGCATGATCTGCGACCCCCAGGGAGAACTGGTCGCCCGTGGTCCCGCCTTCCGGGAAGCGATGATACTGGCAGACATACAAGTCGACTCTGCGACACAACCCGCGCCCCAATTTGAAGACAGTAGCTGTGATGCAGATCTGGAGGCGGTGGGTTCTCCGAAAGTTGTCAGAGTTTCCGGCTACCCGGCGAATCGCGAACGCCCACCAGTCCCATCCTCACCTGCTTTCGCTGAAGCTGGGGAGACCGAGGAAATCTACCGGGCCCTCGTGATGGGAACCCACGACTACCTCGTAAAGACTGGGTTTAGCAAGGCCATCGTCGGGCTGTCGGGCGGAATAGACTCGGCCCTCACCGCGGTGGTCGCCGCCGATGCGCTGGGGCCCGAGAACGTGCTGGGCATTACAATGCCGTCGCGGTATTCCTCCTCCGGCAGCGTCGATGACTCTGCGAATCTGGCGCGGAACCTCGGCATCGAGTTCTGGGAAATTCCCATCGAACCTGCCCACGCCGCATTCGCCGAGATGCTGGAGCAGCGTTTCGCCGATACCACGCCCAACGTTGCCGAGGAGAACGTCCAAGCACGCATCCGAGGCAACGTGCTGATGACCGTGTCTAACAAGTTCGGCTGGATCGTGCTGACCACAGGCAACAAGTCCGAGATGGCCATGGGGTACGCCACGCTTTACGGCGATATGGCCGGCGGCTTCGCTGTACTAAAAGACGTGCACAAGATGACCGTATATGCCCTCAGCCGCTGGCGCAACGCCCACGGCGAGTTGTTCGGCGGAAGCGACGACGTCATACCCACTGCCATCATCGACAAGCCTCCCAGCGCCGAGCTACGCGAAGACCAGTTGGACGAAGACAGCCTCCCTCCGTATGACATCCTCGATCCCGTGATCCAGGCATACGTCGAAGACGACCGCAGCTACGCCGAGATGCTGGACATGGGCTTCGACGCGGCGGTCGTACGCCAGGTCATCACCGCAGTGGATCGCAACGAGTACAAGCGCCGCCAGGCCCCTCCCGGCGTCAAGATCACTCCCCGCGCCTTCGGCCGCGACCGCCGCCTCCCCATCGTAAACCGCTACCGTCAGGTGTGAACCTGATCTCTCAGCGGGCGGAAGCTTGCGGCGCCAGACTCCCACCTCGCAACCAAGACAACGATTCCCTTCCGCCTCATCGCCACTCATTAACTTCTCGATCGTGGTTCCAGCCTACAACGAGGAGGCCTACATTCCGTCAACGCTGTAATCGATAGTGGCGGCAGCGGAAACACTTCGTTCAATCCCCGGCGCCTGCGTCGAAATCCTGGTGGTTGACAACAACAGCGACGACGAGACCGCTGCCATGGCGTTGGACAAGGGTGCGATCGTAATTCACGAGCTGGTCCAGGGCATCTCCAGGGCGAGAAACACGGGAGCGAGACATACGAGGAACGAGGTGCTCGTTTTTATCGATGCAGATGTGATTGTGCCGCCAGGTATTCTCCTAGCGATTCACTCAGCAATGAGCGACTCCGCGTGCGCAGGGGGCGGGGTGGATGTGGACTACCGGCCCAAACGCGCCTTCATCAGGATTTATCTGCGATGCTGGAGGCTGATCAGCAGGGCGTTCGGAATGGTCCAGGGCGCGACCCAGTTCTGTCGCAGGGACGTCTTTGAGGAAATTGGCGGATACGACGAGATGGCCTGGATTGGCGAGGATGTGGATTTCTTCTGGGCACTGAAGCGGTTGGCCAGGAAAACACAAGGCAAGGTTCAACTGATTCGAAATCCCCGGGTGCGGGAGTCCTCTCGGCGGTTTGACCAATGGCCGGTATGGAGGTCCCTGATCTGGGCCAATCCTCTCTTCATCGCGCTGCTCAGAAGGAGGAAATTGGCCTGGGGCGGGTGGTATTCCCGCCCTGTCAGGTAACCGTCAGTCGCCGGGCTGAGGGGCGGGCTGCTCCTGGCTGGGCGCGGTCTTTGGCTTGCCCTGCAGGAACGATACGGCCATCGAGGCGATGACCAACGCGATCAGCACGTAAAAAGCATAACGCATCCCGACGGTGAAAGCGCCCCTCACTCCCTCCACTGAGCTGGTGCGAACCGCCTCCAGACTTGGCTCGAATCCCAGCGAACCCATCGTCACCGTCACGATTGTGGTGGCAATGGCGAGACTGATCACGTTGGCCGAGTTTCGCACAAGGTTGAGGAACCCCGAAACAACGCCGTAGCTTTCCCGCCCCACTGCGCTCAGCACCGAACTGGAGTTGGCTGAATAAAATGTTCCCATGCCGCCGCTGACCAGTATCAGGCCGGGAACAACCTCCCAGAGGGAAGATGTATCGGTAATACGACTAAGTAAAGCCAACCCGATCGTCGAACATAACATACCGCCGACGGTAAACCAGCGCCATCCGAACCTGTCGGACAGGGTGCCGCTGACCGACCCCATGATGGCCATAACCAGCGCCCCGGGCATCACCACCAGCCCCGCGATCTTCGGGCTGTATCCCAACACATTCTGGATATAGAAGGGCATGAGGAACAGCACTGACGACTGGCCCAGGAAAGTGAGGAAGCCTGCCGATATACCGAAGGAAAATACGCGGTCGCGGAAGAATCGCAGGTTGAACATGGGAGCGTCGGTCCGCAGCTCCCACCAGATGAAGGCTACAAACATGCCGGCCGACAGTACAAAAGCTGCGAGAATGGGGGCAGCCATCCAACCCAAGTTGACAGCCAGAGTGAGTCCCAGCAGAAGGGCCACCAGCACGCCGGTGGAGAGGAAGGCGCCTGTCCAGTCGAATCTGCTGCCCCTGGAGGCCCGTTCCGACTCCCAGTGGCGGAGCACGAACATCGTGGCGACCACACCGACCAGCCCTAGCGGAATGGTGATGAAGAAAACTGCCCGCCAGTGAATAAAGTCTACGACGGTCCCGCCGATTGCCGGTCCGATCACGGCTCCGACACCAACGGTGGTCATGAGCAGGCCAATGGCCCGGCCGCGCTCGTGGGAGGGGAACACCGAGGTCATGATGGCCATTCCGGTGCCCTGCGTCATGGCAGCACCAACGCCCTGGAAGAGGCGCGCCAGCAACAGGGTCGCAATATTGGGAGCCAGCCCGGCAGCCGCGGCGCCAACCATGAGGACGAGGCTGCCGAGAATGTACACCCGCTTCTGGCCCAACATGTCCGCCAGGCGGCCCATGGGCAGTAGCAGTGCGCTGATAGTCAGCGCGTAACCGATAACTACCCACTGCACACTGGGAAGCTCGATTTGCAGGTCCTCAGCTATAGAGGGCAACGCCACTATGACGCTGCCATGGTCGACGACAGAGGCGAAGAGCCCGATCGCCAACGCTCCAAACACCACGTACTTGTTGCTGCCGCCCTGGTTCACGGCCTGCCGGGCATCAAACTACCCTCTCCTCGGCTTGTCAAAGGGAAACGGAATTTAGTGCTCAATCCATAACACACAGCTTGCCATTATACTTTAATCCGCGCGTGGCAATACTTGGCCCAGTATCATCCTGGATCGAGATACTGACCTTAAACTGCGAGGAGGCAATAAATGGCAAGAATTCCAATTGCAAGCCGGGACACGGTGCCACAGGACCAGTTGGAGGCCCTGGACGAATATGTTGCCGGAAGGGGCGGGATACCCGACACTGGGCCCCTGTCCGTAATGGTCCACGTGCCCGAGCTGATCAAGCGCGGCGAACACCTGAGAGCATACCTGCGTGGCGACGAGTCCAGCCTTCCCGCCAACATTCGAGAGCTGGGTATGCTCGTGGCGGCCAGAGAAATGGACTGCCAGTTCATCTGGAACGCCCACGCCGTCATGGGCCGTCAGTCCGGACTGAGTGACGACCTGGTCGACAGCCTGCGCGACAAAAAGGACCTGACCGGACTGTCGGATGCAGAAACTGCTGTGGTCGAATACGGTCGGGAGTTCTTCCGCACCCACCGGGTCAGCCAGACAAACTTCGACAACGCAATGGCCCAGTTTGGGACCCGCGGGCTGGTCGAGCTGACCACTCTGCTGGGTTACTACGCCTGCCTGGCTTTTAACATCAACGCCTTCGAGGTGGGGTTACCCGAGAACATCACCGAGAAGCCTCTGCCGGTATAGACGGACCGTGGACGAGTCAGGTTTAAGGCGCCGCAGGTCCGGACATTGTCCTATCCGCCCTCAACTGCGTAAAAGGTAACTCGTCTCTCGGTCTGACTAGCCACTGAGGCAACCACCCGGTATACACCGTGGCGCGGTAGCATCCAGCGGTTGTTGATGACCGCTGTCGCCCGGAAGGACTGTCCTTGGGTGGCATTGACCGGCCTCCCGACATTTACCGTAGCTTCAACCTCGGGAGGCAGCGTGGTGCCATCCTCATCTTCTATCCTGATCCGCAGCCGGTGTGGCTCATTGGTCAGGTTCCACGGCACCAGCACCCCGATAACTATTGTGAGCGAAACCGGGGTGTTGATATCCTTGATATGCCTCCGGTCCCAGGCGCCGCCCATCATGTACAGCTTGCCGTTCAGCACCTCGGCGCGGTCCGCTAGCAGCATGAAGTCGACTTCCACCTGTTCAAAGCCTGGTGACATTGAAACTCTCCAGTGCTTTCATCGACACCAGCAACCAGTCTGAGCCGACAATCCGATTAGGGGCGCGGGCCGTGCGCACCTATTGTGTGAAAGACGGGTAACACAGCCTAAAGCACTGCGGCGGCGATTTCTCGATCTCGGCGATGGCGTCGTCACCCTCCGTATTGTTCAGCCATATGGTGACACGATCAGCGCCGGCGTCAACCAGTTCTTCGATTTCCTCCCGGGTGCGGAACTGGTTTCCGAAGCCGAAGGCCATGATGTCTATTGACTTGGGGTCCCGGCCAGCGGTCTCCGCCAACTCGTCAAGGGTCGCCCGTCCGGCGCGTATTTCCGCGGCTGATGTACGGTTGGGCATCCATCCGTCCCCGTAGGCCACGACACGACGGAACACGTTGCGGGCTTTTCCGCCCAGGTACACGGGTGGATGCGGGGTCTGTACCGGCTTGGGCACTGACTTTACCGGGGGGAAGTCGTAGAACTGACCGTGATACTCCGCTTCGTCTTGGGTCCAGAGTTGCTTCATGGCCTCGATGGATTCGCGGGTCTGCGTCCATCGGCGCTCGAAGTCGCCCCCCATGATCTCCGTCTCCTCCCGCAGCCAACCGGCGCCGATGCCGAAAATGAAGCGGCCGTCGGAGTACCTGTCAAGAGTGGCAATTTCCTTAGCCAGCAGCAGCGGGTTGCGCTCCGGAACCAGGCAGATGCCGGTCCCCAGCTTGATGCGACTTGTTACCGCGGAGGCTCGGGCCAGCGCGATGAAGGGATCGACGATCCGTCCGTACTCCTCCGGTATCGCACCGTCGGCAGACCCAGCGTAGGGAGATGACGTGCGTACCGGCAGGATGGCGTGCTCTGGGACCCAGAAGGATTCAAATCCCAGTTCCTCTGCCCTCTTTGCCAGCACCGCCGGATCGGCGGAACTGTCCACCTCAAAAGAGAATATGCCTACCCTGCTCGTACTCTTGCTCATACTCGCTCCAGTTGCCTGAAAATAGGGTACTATGGGATAAAGGGGCTGGCCGAGTGTATCAACGGGTTTTTCCGTCCGTCAAACTGGCCACAAGGCCCAATAATCGGTTCTCGCAGCTGGCGCCCATTCCCTCGAAGTGTAGTTTTATCATCATTGGGACAATGGAATTTTGAATAGAAACAAAGTAAAATCAGACCAATTGTCCGATGGGTTCATGCATCAGGGGGCGCTGAATACAGGCAACCAGAATGGGGAGCCTCCTCAACCCCTTTCTGACGGCGAACGCAGGAATACGTGGACCAATTTCCGGTCTAATACTGCACTCGGGGGTGTTGACCTTGGGGTAACGGCTACGGACGGAGTCGGCAGACTACTGGAATCGGTGGAGGAATACCTCCCGGGAGATTCCGCAGAGCTGATCAAGGACGCCTACCTTTTCGCGAACCGCAGCCACGAAGGGCAAATGCGTAAGTCAGGTGAGCCTTACATTGCCCACCCTTTGGAGATCGCCCTTTTCCTCTCTGAACTTCGCCTGGACGAACAGACCATAGCAGCGTCATTGCTCCACGACGTGGTCGAAGATTGCGGCGTGTCCCTGGACGAGCTTTCAGCAAAGTTCGGGCCTGAAATTGCAAAGCTGGTCGACGGCGTTACCAAGCTGACCCAGCTCGACAGCCGCATCCACGACCCCATCAGCGCGATGCCGTATGGTTCAGACGACCCCGACAGCCTCTACGCCGAGAGCCTGCGCAAGATGCTGGTCGCCATGGCGGAGGACATCCGAGTCGTCCTCATCAAGCTGGCCGACCGACTGCACAACATGCGCACCCTCGGCGCTCTGCCCCCGGACAAGCAGCGCCGCATCGCCCAGGAGACCCTCGACATTTACTCGCCCCTGGCGCATCGCCTCGGCATCTGGGAAATCAAGTGGCAGCTTGAGGACCTTGCCTTCCGCTACCTGAACGAGGAGAAGTACCGCGAGATTTCCCGGCTCCTCGCTGCCAGGCGGGCCGTGCGGGAAGCCTACGTCTCACAGGTATCGGAACTGCTGCGGACCAAGTTGGAGTCCGATGGCATCAGGGCGGATGTCTCTGGTCGTCCCAAGAACATCTACAGCACATACCGCAAGATTCAGAAATACGAAGCCCAGGGCAAGCAGCTGAGTGAAATCTACGACCTCTTCGCCTTGCGCGTACTGGTCGATCAAGAAGCCGAATGCTATCGCGTCCTCGGCATAGTTCACCAACTCTGGCACCCCATCCCCGGCCAGATCGACGACTACATCGCCAACCCCAAGGAGAACATGTACCAGGCTCTGCACACGACGGTTGTGTGCGAGGGCGGCACCCACCTCGAGGTGCAGATCAAGACCTTCGACCACCACGAGACCGCCGAGTATGGTGTGGCGGCCCACTGGCGTTACAAGGAGGGCAACTCAAAGGACCTGCAGTTCGAAGAAAAGATGAGCGGGCTGAGGCAGCTCCTGGAATGGCAGCGGGACGTCACCAGCACCGCCGAGTTCATCGAGTCGGTCAAAGAGGACATCTTCCACGACCAGGTCTTCGTCTACACCCCCAAGGGTCGGATCGTTGAGCTGACCGCTGGCTCCACACCCATCGATTTCGCCTACAAAGATACACACCGAGCTGGGACACCGCTGCGTTGGTGCCAAGGTCAACGGCAAGCTCGTTTCGCTGGACACCCCGCTGGAAAACGGCGATACCGTCGAAATCATGAACACCAAGTCCGAGCGGGGCCCCAGCCTCGACTGGCTGAACTCCAACCGTGGCTACGTCCGCTCAGCCCACGCCCGCCAGAGCATCCGCCAGTGGTTCCGGAGGCAGGAGCGCGGCGCCAACATCCAGCGCGGCCGCGAGATCCTCCGTCGGGAGATGCGGCGCCTAAAACTTCAAGTTCGATGACAGCGAAGTCCTTGGCCTCTTCCGGTACGACAACATCGACGACCTGCTGGCCAACCTCGGCTCCGGTGGCGTAGGCGAGGGCCAGTTGGCGCAGAAACTGGCCGAGGCCCGGCAGGAGCCGGAACACCCCCTTGCACGCAAGAGGACGGATCTGCCCCTTTCCAGCCCGACCTCAGGCATCAAGGTCCTGGGCGTGGGAGACCTGCTTACCCGCATGGGGCGCTGCTGCGGTCCCATCCCCGGAGACGAGATCGTCGGCTTCGTCACCCGTTCCCGGGGCGTAACTGTCCACAAGCGCATCTGCCCCAGCGTCTTGCACGAGGACGAGCCGGAACGGTTCGTGCCAGTGGAATGGGGACAAGCCAAGGAACTCTTCC